TACTAGAAGAAAGTATTCTTGTGTTGAGGGAGTACTTGAGTGGAGGCCCAATGTCCTTCTGCTACCTTAATACTAAACCTATAAATGTAGGCTCTATGGAACGATCTTGGAAACATTATGAAACAGTGGATTATACTGTTCATTTAAAGAGCCAATCTAAATAGCCATTTTCCCCAATTGATAGGGAAGTTTATTTTAAAGACAAAGCGATGTTTACGTTTTGTTGTCCCCTTTACCAGATTTTTGAACGTGAATTTCCTGTCTTGCATGTATGGTGGGTGTGAATGAAGACGCTACCTGAAAATAGCCTCCATTCAACTGACTGTGAATAGGCGGTCATTAGATGTCCCCGTGGGCGATTTCCCTGTGATGCTGTTATGGTCATGAGAGGTGACGCGTCCGTCTGACTCACGGTGGCCCTGATGGAAGAGAGCAAAGCCCTGTCTGGTCCTGAGTCATGCTCTTAACCCTGTGTTTGAAACCATTGCTGCAGCCCCTGGGTCAGTCCATCTCAACAGGGTCTTTCTTTTATTGCTGACTCTGTTTTACCAAGCATGATGTCCTTCTCCAGAAGCTGGGCCCTCCCAACAACAAGTCCAAAAAGTGAGGCAAAGTCGTCTTGCCATCCTTGCTTCTAGAGAGCCTTCTGGCTGTGCTTTTTCCAAGAGGTGTCTTTGTTTCCAGATAATTCATGGCATACTGAAGGTTCTTTGCCAGCACCATCGTTCAAAGACATCAAGTCCTCTAGATTATTCCTTATTCATCATCTAGCATTCTTGTGTCTATGTGACCATTGAAAAGAACATAGTTTATGTGATAAACTAATGAACATAGTAAAATTCACTTCCCGAATGCTATAAATCTAATTTCTTTTTATTTTTTAATTACTTAAACATTTATTTGGGTAGTAACTGGGGATAGATTTACTATTAGAGACAAAATATTTTCCTGATGGTGTTTCTAGTGGAAAAAAATCTACACAAATACATGAAATCGTGATCAATTCTGTTCTGATGATAGATAGATAGATAGATAGATAGATAGATAGATAGATAGATATATGGATGGAGGTGGAATATATATGGATGGAGGTGGAGAAGAAAGGATCGTTATGGTTGCAAGTTTGACTGATGACCACGTCAGCAGTTCAAAACCACCAGCCACCCTGTGAGATAAAGATGAGGCTTTCTACTGCTGTAAAGAGTTCCATCTTTAGAAACCCACAGGGGCAGTTCTACCCTGTCCTTTAGGGTTGCTATATATCAGGATTGATTATATGGCAGTGAGGTTGGAGGGGTTTTGTTTGTTTGTTTGTTTGTTTGTTTGTTCTTTTGATGGCTCTGTTAGCTAAGCTTTGGGGCTACAAATTGCCGTGGCAGTGGTTCAAACCCACCAGTTTCTCTCAAGGAGAAAGATAAGACTATTTGCTCCCATAAAGATTCACAGACTCAGAAGCTCTATATAGAGTTGTTAGGGACTGGAATAAATATGATGGCAGTGGTTTGGGTTTTAGCTTGATGGGAATACTTTAGATCAGTTGTTAGGAAACCACTGAGTAGGTAAACTAAAGTTTTGAAAGATGAAGGTGAATGTTTCAGAGAGCTTCAAGGAACTGCCTGTAAAATTGTCCTGAAGCAAGAAAAAGCTGATAAAAGAAGGCAGGTCCATGTGGCTAAACCGAAATGAGCAAGGAGAAAGCTAGGATAGCTTGAGATTAGAAAAGTGGGTCTATCATTACTCCTATTCTTATTCCTGCATTCTACGTGTGAGTTCTTATCTCTTATCTGTACCTGTGCACATGCTGTGGCCTAGCCCACAGTGAAAGGCAGGACTGGGATCATGATAGTGGGGGCTGAGGAAGCCTCAAGAAACCAGAGGAATAGTTCATGTTTGTTTCATGTGTGTTTCATCGGAGCTATACGGCTTCCTGTTTGACTCATCCCTTCCTTGTGATCCCTCTGTGAGGGGATGTCCCCTTGTCTACACATGGGTTTTGGTTCTCTGCTCCGAACCCCCTCATTCTCAACAATTTGTTTTGCATTTGGGTTTGTGTTTGTTTGTTTGTTTGTCTGTCTGTGGTCTTCTGATGCCTGTTACCTGATCCTGTCAACACCTAGTGTGCTTCTTACCCGTGGGCTTCTTGCTTCTCTGCTAGATGGCTGCTTGTTTAGCTTCAAGTCTTAAAGACTCCAGGCGCTATATCTTTTGATAGCTGAGCACCATCCACTTCCTTCACCACATTTGCTTATGCACCATTTTGTCTTCAGTGATCATGCGGGGAGGGTGAACATCACAGAATACCAGGTGGTAAGAACAAAGTGTTCTTGCATTTAGGCTGGGCTTGAGCAGAGGCCCAAAGTCCATACCCTATCTCAGTGTATTGCCATATGAAGATATATAGAGCAAATCTCTATTTTTATGAGTTAATGTATTTACATATCTACACACGTATGCTTATACCTTTATCCATAGCTTTGTTTCCTAGATCTTTCCTCTGTTTCCTTTTACTTTCCTCCTGCTCCACCATCATGTTTGCCTTTCATCTGCCTCTCAGTAATTCCTCTCAGCTATAATGCTGTTGTTCCAACACTCAAGAGGAAGGTGAAGAGAGAAGGGGAGGAGGGGGGAACTGATCACAATGATGGACACATAACCACACACACACACCCTATGGGGATGAACAACAAAACATGGGAGAAGGGAGACAGTGGTCAGTGTAAGATATGAAAATAATAGTTTAACATTTATCAAGAGGTAACAAGGGTGGGAGGTGGGAGGGAGTGAAAAAATAGGAACTCATAACAAGCTCAAATAGAAAGTCAGTGTTTAGAAAATAATGGTGGCAACATATATACAAATATGCTTGATACAATTGATGTGTGGATTGTTATAAAAGCTTTAAGAACCTCCAATAAAATTATCTTTTAATTTAAAAAAACTAGAAAAGAAAAGTAAGTGTAGTCATTGCACGGATAGCCATCAAGGAGTGTGCAGTGGAAATTGTCCAGAGATTTAAGCCCTACTCTGCTTAGGCTTGAAGAGGGGTCTTTCCTTGTTATTAATAAATAATACAATAAATACAGGGGAAGGGCAGAGTTGGAGAAACTGTTGAAGTCATCTAGACAGGATGGAGGTGGTGGTCTACTCCTGAGTGTTGGAGGAGTGAAAGGAAAAGTTGATGGAGTCAAGATATTTCTGGAAGTATAATTGCCTATATTTCTAATAAATCAGAGATGTAGGGTTAGAAAAAGAGAATTAACGATGTTTCCTGGGCTTTGGGCTTAAAATAGTAAGTCAATGATAATGACAAGGGAGAATGCTATTTCTTGGAAAATTTCGGCTTAATCATATTAAATGTGGGAAACTATTAGATATCCTAGGAGAGAAGTCAAATTAAATAGGTAAATGTCTACTTGTCTAAAGATATGAATTTGGGATTTATCAGTGTCTGTAAATGCACTAGACTAGATGTCATCATCAAAGGGCGAAAATGTGGTGAGAAGAGTATATGAGGTCCTTGATCAAGCCCTACCAGGCATCATACACCCACCTTGCCATTGATTTTAGGTCACTTGTTGTTCCCTTGTCCTTGGATTTGTTAACACCCATTTCCTTTCCCCCACCTCCCTCTCTCCCGTGCCCCGCCCCCAAACTTAAGTCTTGTTTTCTCCTACAGATTGTTTATCCTGCCAATCTTATCTAGATAGACATGCAGAGACAATAATAATCACAAAATTAAGACAGAGCAAAACAAAAGAAAACAAAAAAGCAAAACAACAACAACAAAAAAGAAAAGCCTATAAATAGTTCCAGGTCTGTTTTTGACCTTTAGGAGTGTTTTCTGGTCAAGTCTGATGGGATGCCATGCTCTGGCCCCAAAGTCTATTTTTTGGTATTCCCCATAGCCGACAGGAATTCTATTTAGCCTAGAGAAATTCCTGAAACCCAAATGAAGGCCAACCATGATAATGGGACAAAAGGAGGTAAAAGGAAATAGAGGAAAGAACTAGGAGGCAAAGAACAGTTATAGAGGTCTAAATACAGGCATGTACTTATGTAAACATACATATAATGACAGGGAAATAGATTGATGTACATATATTTATATGTTAATTATTAAGGTAGCAGACAGACATTGGGCCTCTACTCAATGCAACAACACTTTATTCTAATAACCTGTCATTCCGTGATGCTCACCTTCCCGACATGATCACTGAAGACAAAATGGCTGCATAAGCAAATGTGGTGAAGAAAGCTGATGGTGCCTTGCTATCAAAAGATATAACATTTGGGTCTTGAAGATAAACAAGTGGCCATCTAGCTGAGAAGCAACAAAGTTCACATGGAAGAAGCACATCAGCCTGTGTGATCAGGAGATGTTGATGGGATCAGGTATCAGGCATCAAAGACTCACAGCAAAAAATCATATCATCGTGAATGAGACGGAATGCAGAGTGGAGACCCAAAGCCCATCTGTAGAAAATTGTACATCTCCTTACAGAAGGGTCACAAGGAAGAGATGAGCCAGGTGTAGTGTAGCACCGATGAAACATACAACTTTCCTCTGGTTCTTTAATGCTTCCTCCCCCAGCTCCCCCCCCCCCCCTCCCCCCGACTATTATGACCCCAATTGTACCTTACAAATCCAGCTAGACCAGAGCATGGTCATGGGTACAGATAAGAGCTGGAAACACAAGGAATCCAGGACAGATAAACCCCTCAGGACCAGTAATGAGAGTAGCGGTACTAGGAGGGCAAGGGGAGGTTGGGGGGTGGGGGTGGAGAAAGGAGAAACCGAGACAACAGAGTGGTGAAGGGAGACATTGGTCAATGTAAGACATGAAAACATAACAGTAATTTATAAATTATAAAGGATTCATGAGGGAGGGAGGGAGGGAGGGAGGGAGGGAGGGAGGGAGGGGAAAAATGAGGAGTTGATACCAAGGGCTCAAGTAGAAAGAAAATGTTTTAAAAATGATGATGGGGGCGGTGCGTGAGGGGCGACGGAGATGATGTAGGATATGGAGGGCGTAGTCTATGACTTATCAAGGGTGCGTGAGGGAGGGTGGCGGGGGCGGAAAATGATGATGGCAACAGGTGTACAAATGTGCTGGACACAATGTGTGGATGTATGGATTATGATAAGAGCTGTACGAGCCCCCAGTAAAGGGGGGAAAAAGAGCATCTGAGGTCCTAGAACGCTGCCTTAATTAAAGGTCTGACAAAGGAGAGGAAGCTGAAAGAAATACTCAGAGAGAGCAGAGAAGTCTGAGGAAAACGAGAGAACTACAATGCCAAGGAGCCCCAGAGCGTTTCAAGAAGGGAAGCGATAGTCTTCTAGAACATAATTGATTAAACATGATTGACAGATCAGGTGGGAGAAGGACTGGGAAGTCTTCATTGATATCAGTAATACAAAGGTTATAGAAAGAACAATTTCATATTTGAGGATTTTTTTCTCTATGAATTTATGTAAACTACTGATATGAGTAATTATAGGACACAGAAGTACATCAGACAGCTAACAACATTTCAACATACCCAAAGAATCACAAGCTTTTGAGGCATGAGATTTTCTGAGTAGAACTTCCCTATGGGTATAGTATGCAATGGCAGAGCAAAAATAAACCAAATAATATAGGTTGCCATAAATTACTTCAACATAGTTAAGATTTGCAGTTGCCTCGTATGCATGCAAAAGCTAGATAAGGAAGAACCTTTTGGGTGCCTCTGCATTATGGGACTGATAAAGAACATTGACTGTACCGTGGACTTCCAGAAAAACGAACAGGTTGAGCTTGAGAGAAGTACAGCTGCAATATTCCTTTTAGAAGCGACTATGGTGAGACTTCTTCTTGGGTATTTTGGACATTAGAGTGATCAGTCCCCAGAGAGGGACAGCTTGCTTCGTAAAAAAGAGTCAGCAAAAAAAAAAAAGGAAGCTCTTCAATGAGGCAGATGGATACAGTGGTTTCAACAATGGGCTCAAACAGAGGAAGGATTGTAAGGATGGTACAAGACCAGGCAGTGTTTTGTTTTATTGTACATAGGGTTTCTATGGATTAGACTCTACTCAACGGTACCTTACAACAACAAATAATTATATGGATATTTTAATACTTCATAAAATCTGGTCAATGCCTAAGTGTTGATGAATCTATTGTAAACACTAGGGAGGGAAATCCTCTTATCGATGTAAGTAATTTCTATAAACTATTCATATAATCTGTACATGACACACTATAAGAAATTCATTAGTAAAAATATCTTTGAGCAGCTGAATATATTTTAAAAGCAATGAGATTTCTTTTGAGACTTAATTAGTTAAGTTTAAGCTGCTGAAGTGAATTAGAAGATACATATACATTACAGAAAATGCTTTGGTCCATCCACTCAAAATTTTATAGATATCTAAATCCTCTTGAATATATGTTATATCCTTACTTCAAATTAATTACAGCATGCATTTATTTACTAGCCAAAGGGGAAATAATTTTCTGGAAAGGGCTCAATGCATATTAGGTTTCAATGAAAACAAATGATAGAGGTTCTTTTTCTCTGATATGTTAGAGCATTTTATTTATCAACCTTACTTCGCATAGGCAGAGCAATACTGGGGTATCTGGATGCTACATTAATGTTTAAACTTTCTGTCTTTTAGTTCCTCCAGTCATTAGCTCCCACCCGAAAGAATATGTCACGGCCGTGGATAAGCCCGTCATGCTACCATGTCAGGCAGTTGGCCTCCCACACCCCGACATTACGTGGCATAAAGACGGACATGCAGTTGTGGAATCCGTCCGCCAGCGCACGCTCAGTTCTGGAGCTCTGCAAATAGCCTTTGCTCAGCCTGGAGATGCTGGCCAGTACACCTGCACGGCAGCGAATGTGGCGGGATCAAGCAGCGCCCACACCAAACTCACGGTCCATGGTAAGTACTTTAATGGAAATGATTTCACCCTGCTGCTTTACCATAGCATAGAGAAAACAATCAGTAAGGGTCATATGATGGAAATACAGACCTTGCCAAACCAGTATTCCAAAGGTAGGTGTGGGTGGGTGTGCGCACACGCACGCATGCATGTGTAGTGGTACACCAAAAGCAAAAGGAACAAACCCACTGTCATCGAGTCAATTCTGACTTATAGAAACCTTATAATTCCACCTGTATGAAGCAAACATGCTCTGTAAGGTTTGCAAGGCTGTAAATCCTTATAGAAATAGAGTGCCTTGTCTTCAGCAAAGTATGGCTGGTGAATTTGAACTATTGACCTTTCTGATAGCAGTAAAACCTTAATCCACTGTGCTACCAATGGCTCCTTTGGAAAGGTAGATCTGCCCTTCCAGTCTGTGTCCACATATGTGAAAGAGGTTTTTGTAAGACAGGCAGGTTAATGAATGTATTGTTAATAATATTCCTCACGTTGTGATTATGATTCTTGGAGTCTCTAGCATATAAAGAGTCCCTTTGTGTTTTGTAATCTTTGCTTTACTTCTCAAGCTGTAAGTCACATTGGCTCAAAATTAATCACCATATAAAATACAGTATCAATACAGTTGAAACCAATAAGAGTGACAAATCTATTGTATTGTTTTGAAATTGTAAAATACTTGAGCATATTTTGTAACAAAAAATTACACAATTTTAATATTCAGAGAACTAATGAAATACCTAAAAAATATTTTAACTGTCGCCTGTATATTTTAAGACTAAGACTCGAATGGCCTTTCAAAATCAAAGTGGGGACACAGTGAACCGTGTCTCCAGTTACGATTCTGAGAGGCCACTGTTGCTTCAAGGCAGCTCTGCTTTCCTGCATTGTCAAAGATGTGTGAGTGTTTATTTCATGTTTCAAGTACATTTTGATTTCCTACGCCTTCGTACAGTGAGCATTTCAAGTTCACGCATTTTAATTGGAAAAATGACCTAGAAAAGTGTTGTAGTCAGTGTTTACGAGTTTTGTAACTGTCTTCCACAATTTAAGCCGACTTTGAATTAATACCTGGTGGTGTAGGAGGTTACGTGCTGGTCTGCTAACCACAAAGTCAGCAAATTCAAATCTACCACTTCTCTGCAGGAGAAAGATACAGTGTCTGCCCCACTACAGATTATGGCCTCAGACACCTTCTATAAAGTTGCTGCAAGTCAGAATCAATGAGATGGCAATGGGTTTGGGTTTTCATTTGATATAATTAAGCTAATCAATATCTTACATGGAAACAATACTCAAGTATTCCTAGAAACTTTATTAGCATGTACTATGTACTAAGTGATCAAAAAGTTAATATTCATTTAATGTGTAAGCTACAGTTCCTGACGATAGCTCAACAAAGCTAAATCTAATAATGAAGTTTTAATACCAAAACTCCAACCCAAGGCATATCAAAATATATACTCCTAAGTAACAAATTAATCAAAGAATATTTAGAAAATATTAAAAGTATAGATACTAAATAGCAAAATGTGTGTCTAAAGCTAAAAAATAAGTCACAGTCTTGAAAATTTTTATTTAAAAAATATTTTATGTGTACTAATATAAAACTCTCTAACCATTAACTAAAGAGAAACACTCATCGCAAGGAATTCAGGATAGAGAAGATAATGAAAATAAATAATAATTTAATGAAAAATGAGTATGTTGTACTATTCAATAACACAGATTGTTATGTTTTCTAGATGCTCTATAATACTTATGCATATAATCATAATTTATGTAATCATGTTTACATACTTAGAAAAAATAATAATAAGTGAAAAAACAGATTTGCACAGTAACTTTATTTTTTGCTGAGATCAGCATTTATTTTTTGTGGCTACTTCTTTTGAAGTGGAGAGTCTATTCCTTCTTTGTAGTCTGTTCTTAGTCTCGAGTTGCAATGGTGAAATATTCCAAGATCAAAAATATAAATGACACAGGAAACATCAAAAGAAAATGGAAAGAATACACAGTCACTGTGCCAAAAAGAGTTCGTCAACATGCAACCACTGAGTGCAGTATCTGAGCAAAGTTCATGGAAGTAGCAGTTAAAAGACTGAGCCACTCATTGTAATGGAGCTGGCCCCTCAGACCTCCCTCTTGGTTCCCTCATTCATGCCAGTGTGTTGCGTTCTTGTCTTGGAGCACCAGGTTGAAGTCTGGTCCCTCTTTCTCTGTGAAGATATAAATAACACCCTCCCCTTAGGTGGGTTAGTACCCTGGTCCCCCTGCTACCCATGTCTTTTTATTTTTCCCCCTCCTATTTAGTTGGCTACCATATGTATCCCTGGGTTGAGTCTGGGTCCTGCCATATTGCCTGTACCTCACCCTAGGAATGCTTGTCTACAGTAGCTTCTTCCCTATGCCCCCTTTGCATTTTTTAACTTACCTCAGTGGACTCAAGTTGTACTTGTCCTTTTGTGCTTGGCTTACTTCATTTAGCATAATTTCCTCCAGTTCTTCCCATGCTGTGATGTGCTTCATGCGTTCATCAGTGCTTTTTAGGGATGTGTAGTACTCCACTGTATGTATGTACCACAGTTTTTTAATCCATTCATCTGTTGATGGAAATTTGAATTGTTTCCAACTCCTTGTGATTGTGAACTGTGCCACAACGAACATTGGAGCACAGATGTCTGGCTGTGGTTTGTTTCTTGACTCTTCTGGGCATATACCCAGTAGGGGGATTGCTGGGTCATATGGTAGCTCAATTTCCATCTGTTTTAGATATTGCCAAGTCAATTTCCATAATGGCTGTACATACCAACAGGTCCACCAGCAGGGGACGAGAGTTCCTATCTCTCCACAGCCCCTCCAACACTTGTTACTTTCTGATTTTTTGAATTGGGCTATCTTGAGGATGTTAGGTGATATCTCATAGTTGTTTTAATTTGCATTTTTCTTATGGCTAGAGATCTGGAACATTTTCTCATATATTTATCAGCCATTTGGATTTAGTAATAAGGCCTTACTCAATTACTCTCTCAAGAATGCTTTGTTCTATTAAACTGGCATTCCATGATACTTACCTTCCCGACATGATCGCTGAAGACAAAGCAGGTGCATAAGCAAATGTGGTGTCTGGCTGTCAAAAGATATCATGTCTGGGGTTTCAAAGGCTTGAAGATAAACAAGTGGCCATCTAGGTGAGAAGCAACAAAGCCCACATGGAAGAAGCACACCAGCCTGTGTGATCATGAGGTGTCGATGGGTTCAGGTATTAGGCATCAAAGACCCAGAGCAAAAAATCTTAATGTGAATGGGTGGGGGGAGGGGAGTGTGGAGTGGAAGCCCAAAGCCAATCTATAGGCAATTGGACATCCCCTTACAGAAGAAGGGCCCTGGGGAGCAGATGGGCAATCAGGATGCAGTATAGCACCAATAAAACATACAGCTTTCCTCTGGTTCTTTAATGCTTCCTGTCCCCCTCCCCCCCACTATCATGACCCCAATTCTACCTTACAAATCTGGTTAGATCAGAGCATGTACATGGGTACAGATAAGAACTGGAAGCACAGGGAATCCAGGGCAGATAAACCCCTCAGGACCAATATTGAGAGTAGCCATACCAGGAGGGGAAGGGGAAGGTGGGGGAGATAGGGGGAAACAATCACAATGACCTACCTATAACCCCTTCAACAGGAGGATGGACAGCAAAAAGGGGGTAAAGGGCAACATCAGACAGTGCAATACATGAAAAAAATAATAATAATTTTTCATTATCAAGGGTTCGTGAGGAAGGGAGAGTGTTGGAGGGAGGGAGAAAATGAGAAGCTGATACCACGGGCTCAAGTAGAAAGAAAATGTTTTGAAAATGATGATGGCAACAAATGTACAAATGTGCATGACACAATGGATGTATGGATGGATTGTGATAAGAGTTTTTTTGAGCCCCCAATAAGATGACTAAAAAACCAACTCATTGTATTAAGTAAATCTGCTGCACAAGATTTCTTCAGAGTATTGAAAAGCAAAGTAGTGATTCTGAGGACTAAGATGTGCCTGACCCAACCCTTGATGTTTTCAATTGCCTTATATGCATGTGAAAGTTGGACATCAAATAAGGGAAATCAAAGATAATTCCATGCATTTGAACTATGGTGTTGGCGAAGAATTTTGAAAGTACCATGAACTGCCAAAAGAGCAAACAGTTCTGTCTTGAAAAAAGTACACCAGAATGCTCCTTAGAGGCATGTACTTTGGACATGTGTCAAGAAAGACCAGTCCCTGGAGAAGGACATCATGTTTGGTAAATTTAAAAGGCAGTAAAAAAGAGGAAGGTCCTCAATAGGATTGATTTACAAAGTAGCAGCACCGGTAGGCTTAAACATAACAATTGTGGAGCGAGTGCAGGACTGGCCAGTGGTTTGTTCTGTTGTGCGTAAGGATGCTATAAGTTAGAACAGACTTTTTGGCCACCAACAACAGTTATTTATTTATCTATTTTCACTTTTTTGACAATTGTTTGGTACTTTTCCAGAGGTCATTATCATTGTTCTATAAGTCACTGATATGTTAAAATTATTACAGAGTCCATTGTTTTGGAAGAAGAGTAATTTTGATTTTTTTCACGAACTCTTAGTATTTTTTGCCTTTCCTTTGGAAGTATCTTAGCTCTAAGTCCACTAACTTATTTCATGGTACATTATGCTATAATTTAAAAATGAGAAACAAAATGTTTTTTGAATGATATATAATGCATGTAGTTATGAAATCACTTAAAATATATCCTGTGAAGCAGTATAAAATAGACATGATCTCAAATACCTTTATCTGGTTTTAATTGCATTTGTTCTCACACTCTTGAGATACCATAGTTTTTATAGTACTTTTGTGATATTTAATATCAAGTAAGTGTTTTCCAGTGACTTTGTTAGTGTATCCTTAGCAAAACTCTCTGATGCAAGCCCAGCAATGATATGACCATAGAAGTATTTTTGGTTTGGTTTGGCTTCTTGTTTTATAGGATTGCTTTTTATCTTTCCATGGGCAGTACTATCTCCAGTGAGAAGCCAGGAAGATAAATAAACTCTAGATCTTTCCAACCCAGTTCTAAGTCATTAAAGGAGCAGTGGCAGTGTAGTAGGCCATCCGCAATGTCCGTGATTCGATTCCACCTGCCTCTGCTCGGATAGAAAGAAAAGGCTCGCTGCTCCCATCAATATTTAAAGTCTTGGGAACCCAAACGGGTGGTTTTCCTCGGTCCTTTAGGGTGGCTCTGGCTCAGAATCAACCCAATGGCTGTAGGTTTATAGAGACTTTTTTTTCTTTCCTTTTCCTCTCTTTTAAGAGTTTTCTTGACATTTAATTTGTGTATCGTACAAGTCGATGGTTTAAATATATTAAGAAGAGTTGTGCAATCATCCCCACAATCAAACATTGTCCTCATTCTTACACCCATAATAATTAGCTCCCCATTATCTCCCAACCTCGCCTGCCATCACCCTAAAGAACCATTAATGTAATTACTATCTATATTGATTGACCTATCCTGGATTTCGTACAAAAATTCATACCAACTAGCCCAACAATAACAAACAAAATGAAACATAGAAAAACATTATCCAAGTGAAAGTCGTAGATACTAGAAACCAGAACAAATTTAAAATGGCCCAAAAGGGAAAACAAGCAATATGTTAAATTTTAACCAAATGATATCTGCAGTAATCCACTTTCCAATGCACTTTCTTTAAGGGCAAGACTTTACATCCCTTGTCCAGGCCGTGGGGAGTGTGAGTGGAGGGCTAATTTTCATGAGGACTCTGCAAATGGATCTGGGACTTTCACTGTCACCCACAGCCTTCTGCAAACTGGTTGCTCACAATTTAAACTCTAATGCAATTCTTCTCTGATTTTATTATTTACAGTCCTTGAATCACATGGCCTTTTGCACTCCTTCCATGTTCAATTAGCTAACACCTCCCTTAAATGACTGTGTTAAGACAAGCCTTTAAGCCCCCGGTTACTAGTCCTTCTGATAGCTAGGCACTGTCTGATTCCTTCACGACACTTTGATATAGCACCCATATCTTCAGTAATCACTTCATATAGCCAATATTGAGCAGGGCCACATCCTAAGAACTAATTGGTCTTGGATCAGGGCTTATAATTAAGTGAGAGCTCAAAATCCATTTGTGTATCTAAAGTATACACACATACACACACACATCTCTGGTCCACTTTAGAAGCAGCATTATCCAACATACCAACATGAAGCATGGAACCAATAGAGAGGTCTGAGGGGCCGGCCCCAATCCCAACTATGTGGACAGCGTCCCATCCCCCCAGAAGAATGAATGTCAGAGAACAGCACTGACGCCACAGCTCAGGGAGAGGGACATGTCTGATCAGAGCACACAGGAGCAAATGAAGGGGGAGGGGGAGAGAGTGGAGCACATCCTGGCCCAGCAAGCCCTGAGGACGATATTCCTGCTCAGAGCAGCCAATGCACAGAGAGGACCATAGGGTCAGCCCCACTATAAGACATCATGTTCCTCACTGACCCATAGTGCTATGGGGAACAACACTGGAGACACAGTGCAATAATTGTGCCCAATCTGACCCCACCACACCAAGGCAAAACACTAAGGGCATACAACAGAACAGCAAGGGGAGCAGCGCAATGAAGTCCCCAGGGAACACAAAAAATAGACTTTGGGGCCAGAGTGTGGCACCCATCAGATTCAACCAGAAAACAGTCTTGAAGGTCAACAAACAGACCTTGAACTATTTATATGCTTTTCTCTTTTTTGGTCAATTTTTGTTGTGGTGGTGGTTTTGTGTTCCTTTGTTGCTTTGTTTTGGTCTGTCTTGTTTTAGTGCATATTATTATCTCTGCATGTCTATCTAGATAAGATAGGTGAGATGAACAATCTGGAGGAGAAAAAAACAGGACTGACAATTCTGGGGGGATATGGGAGAGGAGGAGGTGGGAAAAGGAAGTGGGTGTTAACAAACCCAGGGACAAGGGAACAACAAGTGATCTAAAAATCGATGGTGAGGAGTGTGTAGGAGGCCTGGTAGGGCTTGATCAAGGGCAATGTAACCAAGAGGAATTACTGAAACCCAAATGATAGCTGAGCATGATAGTGGGACAAGAGGAAAGTAAAAAGGAAATAGAGGAAAGAACTATGAGGTAAAGGGCATTTATAATGGTGTAATGGCATGTACTGGCATGTACATATGTAAATGTATATATGATGATGATGGGGAAATAGATCTATGGACATATATTTATAGGTTTAGTATTAAGGTAGCAGATGGACACTGGTCCTCTATTCAAGTACTCCCTCAACACAAGAAACACTTTGTTCTATTAACCTGGCATTCTGTGATGCTCACCTTCCCAACATGACAACTGAAGACAAAGTGGGGTGCAATAGCAAATGTGGTGAAGAAAGCAGATGGTGCCCAGCTATCAAAAGTATATCGTCTGGCATCTTAAAGGCTTGAAGATAAACAAGCGGCCATCCAGCTCAGAAGCAACAAAGCCCACATGGAAAAAAACACACCAGCCTGTTTGATCACGAGGTGTTTATAGAATAAGGTATCAGGCATCAAAGACCAGAGGAAAAGAATCATATCATTGTGAATGAGGGGGAGTGCGGAGTAGAGAACCAAAGCCCATCTGTAGGCAACTGGACATCTCCTTACAGAAAGGTCATGGGGAGAAGATGAGCCAGTCAGGGTGCAGTATAGCACTAATGAAACATACAACTTTTGTCTAGTTCTTTAATGCCCCCCCCTTTCATGACCCCAATTCTACCTTACATATCTGGCTAAACCAGAGCATGTACATGGGTATAGATAAGAGCTGGAAACACAGGGAATCCAGGGCAGATAAACCCCTCAGGACCAATATTGAGAGTAGCCATACCAGGAGGGTAACGAGAAGGTGGGGAGAAATAGGGGGAGCCAATCACAATGGTCTACCTATAACCCCATCCCGGGGGAATGGACAACAGAAAAGCAGGTGAAGGGAGACATAGCACAGTGTAATACATGAAAAAATAATAATTTATAAACTATCAAAGGTTCATGAGGGAGCAAGGGTCCGGACGGGAGGGGAAAAAATGAGAAGCTAATACCAAGGGCTCAAGTAGAAAGAAAATGTTTTAAACATGATGATGGCAACAAGTGTACAAATATGTTTGACACAATGAATGGATGGATGGATTGTGATAAGAGTTGTACAAGCCCCCAATAAAATTTATTTTTTAAAAAGCAGTATTACCTGCTTAGTGAGAAATAACTTACGTATATTCATAAGACATTTGGTACATCATAGTATCATTGATTTAGTCAATGTTATAGAATTTAAAGTGTATTTGAGAAAAGAAAAATGTCCATATATAGGAAAGTTTTTTAGACTAAAATACATGGGATATTCACTTATGTAGGTGAAAACTTAAGCAACTGAAAGCTGCTTAAGGAAAAAATGAGGGTGAGACACAGGCAAACATTTCTGTAACATCCATTCTCTGAGGCAAAACTGTGCCTGCAGTACTAAGACACGTGACAGCAAGTTTTAAAAAATGACAGGAGCAAATAAATATATGGAGATGTTTTCTAATTTATTTGCTCAGTAACTGAATTTACATATATTCTATAACACCAACTACATTAGAGTTCTTGTTATTATCAAAAGTATTGATTGCTTCATTGTTGAAAAAAATATCTTAGGCTATTTTTTTAATTAAAATATGTCTAAGGATACTATCCCCCAAAGAGTATTGTATCTTTTAATTTTCAGTGTAAATAAAGATAGTGTTGAATTCAATATTGTGAATGTCTGTATTTTTAAAACTCTCTGTAGTACCACCCAGAATCCGCAGTACAGAAGTGCACTACACCGTCAATGAAAACTCACAAGCCATCTTTCCCTGCGTGGCTGATGGAATCCCCACACCAACTATTAACTGGAAAAAAGACAATGTTCCTTTAGCTGACTTATTAGGAAAATACACTTCAGAACCATATGGAGAACTCATATTGGAAAATGTTGTGGTAAGTTTAATAAACATGAACAGGTACAATAAGCTAGATTTTTAATTCACCTTCTGATTTTTACTAATTTAGCTTGGGAATTTATTTTGTCCATGAAAGAAAAATGATAAATGTAGGCCACAAAATAATTCTACACATATTTCATTTTATGGTCCAGGACTGAAAATAGTGTCTGACAGATAGTAGGAATTCATAAATGACATCTTCTAAATATCATTAATGTGGTTTTGTGATTTGTTTTTGTCCAAGCTTGTAACTACGTACTGGAATGACTAAAAGTATGGAGATGTAAAAATGTCAGCTCTATTACTAAGCAAATAGAAAAAGCTCTGTAGAATAATCACCAGGCGCTACTCATTTTCAATAGAAGGCCACAAACCTAAACACACACTTATAGCCACACATACCAAATTTATTTTTAAGTTAAACTATTAAAAATAATTATATGGTTTAGAGGTTTGTTGCCAGCTCTTGGCACCAAATATTAAACATGATCAAAGTGTGATCAATTTCTGAATTTTCACACATTTCTAGTTCTTTTTCATGGCCCTTTAAAAATGCCTAACTTTCATTACATTTTGGTGTACTAAAGTTGAGCAGATTAAGATGTTGAAATTGATAATATTTATAGGATAATCTTTGCCAATTAGCTAGACTTTGTGATGACAAAGTCATTATTCATAGTGAGCGTATCTCATTCGACCATAACTCAAATCACCCGGGCCAGTAAAATCATATTTATTCAAATCTGAGCTTCTTTATGCTGCAAGAAGCACAATTAAAAAAAAGAAGCACAATTATCTTATGTACCACTGAGAAACAAAAATATAAAACCAAGTAACCACTATGGACCACCAATTTTTCAATTGGGTCTCGAAGTCAGAGAAAATTGAAAGTCAGAAAATGTAGAATCTTGTAGGCCATTGAAGTAATTTTGGTTCTTACTCCTAATCAGAATCCCTTGCAGATTTTGAACAGAGGAACAACAATATCTGTTGTGTTTTAGCAAGATTATAGGAATTGTTTCTATATGAATAGACTGTAGAAATAAGAAGGTAGGCACGGAAGGACCTGTTAGGACTCTAACTAGTATTCTAGGTGAGTGATGACTAAACTCAAGCCATAACTTCCACAGAATGGATGAGAAGAAGTGGGATCCAGTCTATATCTGGTAGCTAGCATTTCCTGGTCGGCTGTAAGGAAGGAAGAGTGAAAGACATAGAAGAAATAGTAGAGCCATGCCCAAACTTGAATCTGAGTTCTTATCACTAATCGGTATAGCTCTATAAATGTTTATATATATATATATATGTGTGTGTGTGTGTATATGTATATATGTATATGTATACACTTCTATAGCTATAATAGTTATGTAAATGTTTAAACACATATAGTTCTATAAACAAACATTTAGCATATATGTTTAAAATGCTAAATGTTTTACATTGCTATGTCCAAGCTACCCAAATGGTTCAAAACTAAAGATAGAAATTTAAATGATCTTTTAATAGAGTCCTTCCTTGGGAACGAAGCTATGTGATTTTATTTATTCTATGTAATATGGTGTAAGTTTATGTAATTTTGAGCACTATGATTTTTTATTTAAGCTGGAGGATTCTGGCACCTATACCTGTGTTGCTAACAATGCTGCAGGTGAAGATACACACACTGTCAGCCTGACTGTACATGTTCTCCCCACCTTCACTGAGCTTCCTGGAGACGTGTCATTAAATCAAGGAGAACAACTACGATTAAGCTGTAGAGCAACTGGTGTTCCTTTGCCCAAGTTAACATGGACTTTCAATAACAACATTATTCCAGGTTGGTGATTTAATTCTTAAGGCGTGATTCTATAAACCCATATCGAACTCAAACCAAATCTCCACTTTCGCTATTTATGGAAATTGATTGAAAAGTTACCATTATGAGTGGATTGCTTTAAATTCTGCAAAATCTGGTACTTGGAATTTTACTCGATACCCGTAATATTCTCATATGTTCCATTTATACTTTTAAAAGGATAAGGTGATTACAGATACATTGCAGTACATACATTGATTTTTTTAAGTGAAAGAAAATGTTACTTTATGAGAGATGGTATTGCCTATACAAGCACCTAAACTGATCTTACCTGCACCTGCTTCATCATGAATAAATGGATTGAAATCCTGAAGATCTACTAGTTTTTAAAAGGAGAGCTCTGCTTCCTATTGTATGAATCAACTTCTATTATAAGGAGGGATGCATTTATGTAGAAATTTTCTAGTCAACCTATACACTACGTGGAAAGACAGATCCTGGAAAACAGTACACTCATTCTTGGGAGGACGTGTCCACTCATTCACTGCTTGGCCCTCAGCGTAATGGTGAGCTCAGGAACGGGAAGCTGTTGTGTCCTAAACCTGGGTTTCGAAACACTGCACTATAAGCATTCAATAAGTACCTCGCTAGAGAAGTTGTATTAGGCCTGCGTTTTTTGTTGTTTAAATGATAATATTGTTAACATTAATATGTTAATATTGGAATTTGTCCTTTGTGTTACTGTAACAATAGCAATAACACATTGCTAAAGAATTAAAAAGCCTAAATAATTTCATTCACATTGGTCTCAGAAAATATAGTGCTGATATAGATTTCAAACTTTTAAGGCCTAGCTTCCCACTTAACATTCAGCTGTATAAAACTAAAAGGTAACTTAGAGAAAGAATGCAAATACATTTACCATTAAGTAGAGAGTGAATTCGCATCAGAATCTTATTGTCAATTATTTTAGGATTAGCATGTTTTCTTTATGTCCTACATCAACTCTTCGAATTGCCTCTGTAAAATAAATGTGTATATCATCATCATTTTTGGATAAGTTTAAATGATTACAAATTTGATCGTGTTGTCAGTATTACATAACTAGCATATGTTTTCATGATCTCCTCCTCTGACCTGCCAAATTGGATGAATTATAACTGAAAAGTTTTCGTGTTTTTGATGTAAATTGTTTGGGAGGAAAAGTTGTGGTAAGATAAAAAGAAATAGAAAATGTCATGTTTCCAAATGAAGGATTTTTGAAACCAAGGAAGGCTGTGAGTCAGCTTTAAGCAAGACTTGGAGTTGAAAAGATGCACTCTAAATCTACAGTGCATTTAAAAGATGTTTGCTTTCATTCTCTTTTCCTGTTTCTTCTGCTATTTTTTAGTCTCCAAACAAGTGACTATAGACTTAGTAAATAGCTCAAAGGAATAAATCAGTGAAGTGGACAAGCCTCTCTTCAATGCCATGATGAGATCTCTTTAGTTCACTTGCTGACTAACTCATAAATCTAACCTGCAAAATATTGAGGTGCCCTGAATATTTTCTGAGGTTACTGAGAGGCGTTTGTGTTGTTTCTGAACTTGTTTCCCTCAGCCCACTTTGACAGTGTCAATGGACACAGTGAACTTGTTATTGGAAGAGTGTCAAAAGAGGATTCAGGTACTTACGTGTGCACCGCAGAGAACAGCATTGGTTTTGTGAAGGCCATTGGATTTGTTTATGTCAAAGGTAAGTCGAAGTGCTCTATTATGTATTCATCATTTATCTGAAATGGATAGCTTGTGTTTCGCTTTCTGATTATTTAGTAATAAGATACCATTTTCAGGTTGTTCACACAGCCAGTCCTATTTCACGGGTATGGCATATACGTGAGAAATAAAGCACGAACATTTGACTATAAATTGGGTAAGCAGTAAATAAAGAGAGTGACACAATGTGGAATCATCTGTTTATGTTGTGGGAATCAACACATCTATTTCATTGAGCTGCCTGAATAGTTGATTCATGGAAATTTCATTGGGTTCTAAAGTGACTTTTTCCCTAGTACTACTATATTAACTTTTGAAATAGTTCACAATCACAGACCTTATTAGAGCTTCTTTTTACTTTGCGTTTGTGTTATTTCACAGAACCCCCAGTCTTCAAAGGTGATTACCCTTCCAGCTGGATTGAGCCACTTGGTGGCAATGCAATCCTGAACTGTGAAGTTAAAGGAGACCCTGCCCCAACCATCCAGTGGAGCAGACAGGGGTTAGAGATCGAAATTAGCCACAGAATCCGGCAACTCGGCAATGGTTCCCTTGCCATTTACGGCACTGTTGTAAGTCAGATGGGAATGATTGATGTGCACTTCAACTGCCCCTCTAGGGGATCATGATGAGAAAATTTTCTCTTAAATTCTTTCTTATACCCAGGGACAAGGGAACAACAAGTGATCCAAAATCAGTGGTGAGGAGGGTGTAAGGGGCCTGGTAGGGCTTGGTCAAAGGTATTGTAATGGAGAGGAAATACTGAAACCCAAATGAAGGCTAAGCATGATAGTGGGACAAGAGGAAAGTAAAAAGAAATAGAGGAAAGAACTCGAAGCAAAGGGCATTTATAGAGGTCTAAATACAGGCATGAACATAAGTAAATATATATGATGATGGGAAAATAGATCTATATGTATATACTTCCAGGTTTTGTATTAAGGTAGCAGATGGACATTGGGCCTCCACTCAAGTACTCCCTTAATGCAAGAACACTTTGTTCTATTAAACTGGCATTCGATGATGTTCACCTTCCTGACACAATCACTGAAGAAAAATGGGTGCATAAGAAAATGTGGTGAAGAAAGCTGATGGTGCCTAGCAAAAGATACAGTGTCTGGGGTCTTAAAGGCTTGAAAATAAGCAAGCGGTCAACTAGTTCAGAAGCAACAAATCACACATGGAAGAACCACACCAGCTTGTGTGATTACGAGGTATCAGTGGGTTCAGGTATCAGGCATCAAAGAACAAAAAATCATAGCCCTTCAGTAGACAACTGGACATCACTTTACAGAAGGGTTGCAGAGAGGAGACAAGCCAGTCAAGGTGCAGTGTAGTAATGATGAATCATACAACTTCTAGTTCTTAAATGCTCCTCCCCCCACTATCATGATCCCAACTCTACCTTACAAATCTGGCTAGACAGAGTATGTACACTGGTACAGATAGGAACTGGAAACATAGTGAATCCAGGACAGATGAAGCCCTCAGGACCAGTGGTGAGAGTGGCAATACCAGGAGGGTGGAGGGAAGGTGGGGTAGAAAGGGGGAACCGATTACAAGGATCTACATATAACCCCCTCCCTGGGGGACGGACCACAGAAAAGTGAGTGAAGGAAGACATCAGACAGTACAAGATATGACAAAATAATAATAATTTATAAATTATCCAGGTTTCATGGGAGGGGTCCGGGAGGGAGGGGAAAAATGAGGAGCTGATACCAAGGGCTCAAGTAGAAAGCAAATATTTTGAGAATAACTATGGCAACAAATGCACAAATGTGCTTGACACAATGGATGTATGTCTGGATTGTGATAAGAGTTGTACAAGTCCCCAATAAAATGATTTTTAAAAAAAAGAGGTACAGTCCCAAGGGCTCAAATAGAAAGTAATCGTTTAGAAAATAACAGTGGCAACATATGTAGAAATATGCTTGATGCAACTGATGTATGGAATGTTATGAGAGCTGTAAGAGCCCCAATAAAATAATTTTTAATACTTTCTTAAATCATAACATAGGAATAGATTCCTTAAAAAAAAAAAAGCAAGACTTTGAAATGATATTTTAGTCATTTTTAAATCAGTAAGGGTAATAAGATCATTATACCATTGTTTCCCATAGTTAACTTTTATTATTATTTAGCATCAGGAAAGAACTTCCTCGGATCTGTTTAGAATAAGAGAATAAAAGAATTACTACTGCACTTACAAATAAATTACAAGGTAGACGTCATCACTGAGCCCAAAGCTATAGTAAGCTTTTCCCAAAACTTGAGTGTTCAGGAATTAGGTAGTTTCTTAGGTTTTTCTATTTCAGGGTCCATTGAAAGAAACATTTTATCTAGAGTTTTTCAACTACAATATATATGAGTCATTTCTTGGTTCACACTTGGTGAAATCTTTTGGGTGCTTCCATCATTTAACTAATGAAAATAATAGTTAACAAAAGACCTCTCTAATCACCCAGTCTCGTCTTACCCTCTTCGGTTGCACCTCCACTGAGCTGCTGTTGGTGCCCCTTCTGTGCTGAGTTAAAATCTTCCATGAGTTCCTACAATATTGCGTCTCTAGCTTTTTTGTTACCACATCGTCCCTTGTTTTACACAAATACTACCATTTCTGAAGTCCTTGGTACTTCTAATATCAGCATCAAGTCTGACATTAATATTTTTAATACAGCGCTTTATTGGGGGCTCTTACGGCCTCATAACATTCCGTGCATCAATTGCATCCAGCACCTCTGTCTATGTTGCCATCATCATTTGCAGAACATTGTCTTTCTACTTGAGCCTCTGGTATCAGCTCCTCGTTTTCCCCTCCCTCTGCCACCCTTCCTCCTTTGTGAACTCCTGAGAAATTATAAATTTTTATTATTTTCATATCTAATATTAATATTTTACTACACAATTTCAGGCTTCCAAGAATGTATCTTCAACCCTGAACCTCTTCCAAGTCCTACATCGAGCCGCACACTAGAAATTTAGTAACACATGGAAACTTCAACGTAAACATCTAAGTCATTATCTATGTTCCCCTTTCTACCTTCCTGCTCTCCCTGTAAATCAATCCTACTCTCCTGACTTCCTACTTCCATTTTTGAGAGCAAAATTCTATTCATAAACTTTCTTGAAAAATCTGCAATTCTAGTTACCAATTTGAAACTCATATAGAACTTGTTTTCTACATCCAATATGTATAAATGTGTGCCCTTCTATGCTTTAGAAATTGTAAGTAACCTAAATTTCAGGAGATAGAGTCCAAACTTGTTTGAATGGACCCAATATTTGTTTTGATTAATTTTTAAGAAACAAATGAGACTAGCATTGGGGTATTACTGGAGTAAGATGATTTCTGATTGGTTATTATAAAATAATGTTATTTTTGTCTTAGTTTCTTCGCAATTGTTAATAAGCTGTTTTGTTTTTGATTGTTTTTTTAATTTAGGCTGGTGATTTGTTTTGTGTCCCCTACCCCATATTTATCTGTTTTTATTAAAATGCCTTCTCACAAATGAATTTTCTTATAACTAGCACAATGGTGAAAAAAATGATTTTCCTTGCTCCCCAGACTCACATTTTCATAAATGACCGCTTCTTTCCATAGAACGACGATGCTGGTGACTACACCTGTGTAGCCACCAACGAGGCGGGGGCGGTGGAGCGCAGCATGAGTCTGACCTTGCAAAGTAAGCCTCTGAACTAAACTAATTCAGCACTTGATTTTAGAAATACTGCCTCATACCCAGTGTTCACATTCCTTAACTTTATTACAAGTACATTCGTGGTAGCTTTCAGCATGCGGCTCGTGTCATTATCTGCTGCTGATGGAGCAATTGCCAAGTGTAAAAGTAATACGCTTCCACACAAGTCTTTTCTTCTAATTGTCCAGCACGCGCAGCCCCAAGTTGCTGATGGCTGGTGACAAAGCTTTTTAAAAGAACATTTTCAGTGGAATTCTATGCTTCTAGCTTACTACATGCTTTTGTCACACTTAAAAAATGTCCTTTTACACACCATATTAAAAATGGCAACGTGTGCATTACAAAACTAATATAAATGGACTCCAAAGTGCTCCTGGTCTATTGATATTGAGTTTCTGTGCATTAACTCCTGCTCTGGGCAGAATCCTCATGATCATCCTGAAGCCCCTCTGTGCGAACCTGGGGAGATAGAGTTTTCATTAGAGAAAAACAGATGACCTAAGAGTCCACTCGAGGGTCCACAGAACCAATCCAGGGACTAAATGCGGAAAAAGTAATTGGACCAACATTGAAATAAACCAGGTTGTGTGGTGAATAGGACTTAATGGGCGTGGGGGGTAAATTTCCCTCATTCATTGTTAAGAAATGCTCTAGACTAGGTGTTTACCAAGGTACTATTCAATAAAACATTAAATAATCATATTTATTGTTTTTAGTGAGTACAAGCTTATGTTCCCATTCAACAATTTCTACACAAGTTGCTCAGTGACATCGGTTACATTCTCCGCAAAACGTGAACAGTCTCGGTATTTCCATTCTGGTTGTTCAGTTATCATTGATCTAGGTTGTCTGCCACCTTGTAGGTGATCTTTTTTTAAAGGACTGCTGTACCCATCGATGATGTTCATTATTTTCCGAGGCAATTTGATATGTAGCTAGAAGGTAACCTCTAAAGTTATTTTCAGTTCAGTGTCTGAAGAATATCTCAGGGCAATAGTCTTTATGAGTTCTCTAATATATCCATTCAAATTTATCTTCAGAGATCAGTGGGTATTGTTTCTTTAAATAACCATTTCTATTCAGCATATTAACTTCTTGTTTTCTAACTCTTACAGAGGTCATGTCCATATGAGCCTCCCCTGGGATTGGGATATCTCAGGGCAATAATAGTCCCAGTGAATCCTCTAATTTTCAACCAGTACCTGAGATCAGTTTTGGTGGGGTTTTGTTTGTTTGTTTGGCTGATTCTTTTTAGGAATTTGAATTTCTGTTTCCTATTTTCCTCCCATTCCATCAGAAACCTTTTATTTTGTCCCTGGTTAGAACATTCAGTAAAGATAGCCAGTACCATCTATACACAGTGGCAGTGTTTTATTAAAATACAATCTATCAAATCCTCTCTATGGATTCCAGGATTTAATTCTTCCTACCTCATTGATCAGATCTTAGTATTGTTTATAGGTTTGTCTTTGGAGGTCTCACAAGCTGATGAAGCCCTGGAGCCACTCACTAGTCTTTGCCAAGAAATTTGGAAGACGGTGACTTATCCAACCAACTGGAAGAGATCCACATTTATGTCCATTCCCAAGAAAGGTGATCGAAGTGAGCATGGAACTTAGTGAACAATACCAATAAAATCACATGCAAATAAAAATATTGCTGAAGATGATTAAAAAACGATTGCAGTGAGCTGCTAGAAATTCGAGTGGGATTCAGAAGAGGCATGGAACAAAAGATATCGTTGCTGAATATCAGGTGGCTCTTGGCTGAAAGTGTGGATTACCAGAAAGATGTATAATTTTGTTATATCAAATGGAAATGTATTTGATCGTGTGGGTCCTAACAAGCGATAGTTATCATAGAGAAGAATTGGAACTCTAGAACAATAAATTGTGCTCCTATGGAATCTACCCATGTAGAAGTGACAGCCATTTAAATAGAGTAAGGGATTATTGTGTGGCTTAAAATCAGGAAAGGTGTATATCAGGGATGTATCCTTTTCCCATACTTATTCACTATCTACGTTGAACCAATAATCCACAAGATTGGTCCTTACAAAGAAGTACATGGCATTGGGAAAAGATGGATATTTCACAGCCTGCAATAACAGAGATACCAAGACCTTGCTTGCTGAAAGTAAAAAGGACTTTAACCACGTGCTGATGAAAATCAAAGACTGCATGCAGCCTTTGGCATCGATTAAAACTCAATGGAAAGAAAATAAAAATCCTCACTACTGAACCAAGAGATAGCATCATGATAAAGGGAAATAAGATCGACATTGTCAGGATTTCATTTTGCTTGAGCCCAAAGTAAATGCTCATGGAAGCAGCCATCAAGAAAGCAATCATGTATCGCAATGAGGAAGACCGCTTACACGTGCTAAATAGCAAACCAGTCACTTTGAGGACTAAAGTGACCTGACTCAACCCATGATAGTTTCAGTTCCTACATAGACACGTTAAAGTTGAACGGTGCATAAGAAAAGAATGTATGCATTTGAATTACGGTGTTGGTAAAGAACACCTTCACAATGTTTATGCTTGAGCCCTTTGCTGCAGCCACTGGGTCAGTTCATCTTGTCCAGTGCCTCCCACTTTGTCATTGTCCCCCTACTTTACGAAGCATGCTGTCCTTCTCCAGGGACTGGTCTCTCCTGACAACATGCTCAAGGTACTGGAGACAAAGTCTCACCATTCTTGCCCCTAAGGAGCATTAAGGCTATACTTCTTCCAAGACATATCTATTGGTTCTTTCAACATTCTTCACCAGCACCATAATTCAAACATGTGGATTTTTCTTTAGTTTCCTTATTCAGTGTCCAGCTTCCACATGTATCTGAGGTGATTGAAAATTCCAAGGCGTGGCTCAGGCGCACGTTAGTCCTCAGAGTAACACCCTGGCTTTGCGACATTTCAGGGAGATCTTGGGCTGCAGATTTGCCCAAGGCACCGCTTCATTTGATTTCTTGATCTCTACTTCCATGAAGGCTTGTTAACCTCTCCCTTTGTTGAATCCCTGTTTTTGATGTTCAGGATACCATTTTTTCCTATTTTCTTCCTACCTCAAGGATCAAATCTTACTAGGATTTTAAAGGATAAAAATGATCAAATCTTCTTCCTTACATTTTAGACTGTTGTCTGAAGCAATTCTGTCCACTCAGATAAGAATCACTTATCTTAATTTCTAACACATTAACTCTAGACTAAACTCTGTTTGCCCAAGACGTCTTTAAAGTGTAAAACAGCAAAAACATTACTTTGAGGAGTAACTCATGCTGATTCAAGCCATGGAATTTTCAATGGCCTCCTGAGCATACAAATGCTGGATAACGATTAAGGAGGACCAATGAAGAATTGGTGCATTTTAATTTTAGTGTTGGCAAAGAGTACTGAAAAGTACTGTTGACTGCCAAAAGAACAAACAGATATATCTTGGAAGAGGTACGACCAGAATGTTCTTGAGAAGCAAGGATAATGAGACTTCACCTCACCTACTTTAGAGATGTTATCAGGAGGCACCAGTCCGTGGAGGAGAAGAACATCATGCACGGTACACTGAAAGGCCAGTGACAAGAAGAAGACCCTTGATGATATGAATTGGTCCTATAGCTGCCACGATGGACTCGAGGCTGGTCGTAATTGTGAGGATGGTGCAGGACTGAACAGTGTTTTACTCTGTTCCACAGAGGACTGTGATAAGTTGGAATCAGTTTGGAGGCTCTTACCAAAACAACAATACAGATGAAGGCTTATTGACTTTACTGTCCTATAAGTGTGATTTCATTTTCTTGAAATTAGGAATTATAAACAAGGGTAAATCAAAATACAAAGATTCCACATTATACATTCAGAGGTTTATTCCAAAGAAAGCATGTTTAAATGCATCTCTGCGATCCGTGGGTGGCTGCAGACAGGTTCTCTCAAGTAGACCCTTGTCAAAGTCTTGTTAGAGTGCCTTCCAAAAGAGGCTCAATCAAAGCACTGGGTTCCAAAAGAGGATTTGCCGGACCATTCCCATTCAGGGCAAAGAGGGCGGCTCAAAAGATTATGACAACATTCTTTTAGAATTCCAAAGAGGCAATCTTGATAGATTTTCTTGAAAGAGATCAGATGGCCATGGGGGTTTATTATGAAGAAGTTTAAAGAAAATTGAAAGACACATCGGTGAGAAAAAGCCAGAAAGTTGCACCATTTGTTTTTTTCATCACAATATACCTATTTATTCTTCAAAGGGAGTGAAGTCCTATGGAAATTTTGTTTAAAAATCCTACTAAAAAAAAAATTCATATTCCATTCCTCCTTGCCCTTAATCTTGCCCTTCAGACTTCTTTCTGTTCCAAAACTCAAAAGAAATTTTTTTTAACAACACAATTTGAGTTTCTTAAGGATGTCAAAACTCCTGTGTTACACATGGTATCAACAGAAATATGCAAAATTGTTTGAGGAAGTACTAAAGAGATGGAAACACTACCTGCAGAAGTGTACAGACATAGAGGATCCTTTGAGGAAAAATGGTTTTACATTTTCCTATCTGTGATTAATAAACATTTCTATATCTGGCCCTCTGGTGGTTATGAGTTGTAATCTACAGGGTTAGCAGTTCAAAATTACCATCAACTCCAAGGGAGAAAAACTGGACTTTCTACTCCTGTAAACAGTTGCTGTCTCAGAAACCTATCAAGGGTCACTATGAGTCAGCATTGACTTGATGGCAGTGAATTTGGTTTTGGTTTTGGTTAAAGGTTTTTATGCTCTACAGCCAGGGAAAGACTGGGCTTTCTGCTCCTGTAAACAGATACAGTCTCAGAAACCCACAGGGCATCGCTATGAGACAGCTATGAGTCAGCACTAACTTGATGACAGTGAGCTTGTTTTATTGTTTTATTTTGTTGTTTTTGTTTTATGATCATAGCATTACTCTTGCCTTATCCTTGCGTATTATAATCTGTACCCTCCGTATCTAGCACAATCCCTGGCAAAGAGAAGGCTTACAATATATACTCTTTGATCACATTAATGATGAAGTGATATTTACCTCAACAGTGATTGAACAGAAAAAGATGAACAGTCGCCAAAAGACAGATCATGACAATGAAAGTAACTAGTGATATTATTTGCTTTCTCTGAGAGCTGTCGTTCATCTTCTTGGTTGAGTCTAACCAGAACCTTTTGAATTATGCATCAGTTTTAATTGCTCAGAGGAGCAGTAGTGTACACAGGCAGGATATAAATCCACAAAGCCTCGCGGACCGTGTTACAGGCTAATCTGCCTGGAGATTTAAATTCTTTGACATTTAACAACTAACAGAGCACCATGAATGGTCTGTCATGGACAAGTAAAACATTCATAGTCAAGAAGCTATAGTATCGGGGAGCAAAATGATAAACCTGACTCGAGCAGTTAAAACCTTGTCGGTTGAGCTCTCCCATACATGTTGGGTCTGATAGGATTTTCAACTTTTTATGTATTTTTTTTCTTTTTACCTTTTTCTTCATATTGGGGTTTAGCTCTTATGTATTTTGCCATTGGGAAGAGCCCTCTTGAATTTTGTTATATGTTTATCGGTAGATGAAACCCATGTGATGAACCTATAGGGACAGCAAATAGAATAAGGATTCCAGGGGCGGGGATGCAGTGGGGGAGGGGAGGGGTAAAGAGGAGGTGAATCAAGGAGTTCATGAAAAAAGAGAATGTTTTGAAACACTGTGATAGCAGTTGTACAATGCTGCTCAGTGTAACTGAACTATGGAATGATATGATATCTGTATTATTCCAATAAAAAAGGCCTTGAAAAAATAAAATATGATAGGCTCTCCTAGCAAATAATATCACTATTACTTTCATTGTCATGATCTGTCTTTTGGTGACTGTTCATCTTTTTCTGTTCAATCACTGTTGAGGTAAATATCACTTCATCTAAGAAAGAAGCTGCAGTAATTGTGCAATACATGATAAAATGTCCATTACAAAACCATATAACACTTTATGTTTCTGCCAATAGGTCCTCCTATTATCATTCTTGAACCAGTGGAAACTGTTGTCAGTGCTGGTGGCAAAGTCGTTTTGAATTGTCAGGCAACTGGAGAGCCTCATCCAACCATTTCATGGTCTCATCAAGGGCGTCCCATTCCCTGGGATGACAGAATCCATATGTTATCCAACAACTCCTTGTATATTGCTGCAGCTCAGAAAGAAGACACCTCTGAATATGAATGTGTTGCTCGAAACATGATGGGCTCTGTCCTTGTCAGGGTACCTGTCATAGTCCAAGGTGAGTGAATCAAGAGATATTTATATAGTTCGGCACCTTGGGTATCCTGAGCATAAAACTTATCAAGCATCTGGGTTCAAGTCTCCATTATTCTTAAACAGTGCATCCTTAAATAGTATATCTTTAAATAGTCACAGGACCTAATCACAGTATTACTTACTGACTAAAGCAATGTAAATTTGGTTGAAAATGTAAATCAATTATTCAAAACCCCAAACCTGATTCTTCATTCAAGAGTAAATCAAATTGATCCTCAGAGATTAATGCATATATTTCTCCTTAAATAATTGTTCAATCCAAAAGTTCACCAGTATATTAACTTCTTGTTCACTCACTCTTATAGCAGTTATGTCCATGTGAGTCAGGATGGGGATAAAGAAGTCACTCTAGTTAACTCTTGGAATGCGTTTCTCTCATCCTTGTAAAGGAGACCTTAAAAGGCGAGCGGATTTCATAGCAACTTTTCAGCTTTAGACCCAGAGCATATATGTTCAGTGAAATGTGGTTTACAATTTTTATCTCAAAACCTGAGATAAGGGACAATGTTTTATTTTCAGTTCATGGTGGATACTCCCAGTGGTCTGCCTGGAGATCCTGCAGTGTCACCTGTGGCAAAGGGATCCAGAAGAGGAGCCGTCTGTGCAACAATCCCCTTCCAGCCAATGGTGGGAAGTCTTGTCAAGGTTCAGACTCAGAGATGCAAACCTGTCTGAATAAGCCATGTCCAGGTATGTCTCTTTATTCAACCAGTAGGCCCGTGTCTACTGAGCATTCTTTTCTTGTTCCTAGCTTTGCGTGGTCTCTGTATTATACTTAAAATTACAACATATCTTAAGGGATAATTCGTTTTTTGCCTTTGAATAGTGGATGGTAGTTGGTCAGAATGGAGTTCTTGGGAAGAATGCACAAGGACCTGTGGACACGGAAACCGAACCAGAACAAGAACTTGCAATAATCCCGCGGCACAGCATGGAGGGCGGCGCTGTGAAGGGAATGCCGTGGAAATAATCATGTGCAGCATCAGACCCTGCCCAAGTGAGTATCCCCTAACAACATAGGATAATCCAAAATTTTATAATTTTAAGTCCTGTAAGAAAAGGCTTAAAATTCTGTGATTTCTTTGTTAGGAAAAGGTGGTGTAGCCTCTACCCTTGAAAATACTAATTTTCTGGTTTCTTATATCTTCTCTGTGGATAAATTTGTAGAGCTTTGGCATTGGTCAATGTTCAGTAAAAAATGTGATTTAATTGAACATGGTATAACTCCAAACTGAAAGCATAAGTATTTATAAAATCATCAAACTTTTAAGATAAAGGACTTCGTTATTGTTAGCTGCCATCAAGTTGATCCCCAACATTATAATGGTGGCTGTGTTAGTCTGGGTAGACTAGAGAAACAAATTCATGGACACACCTATATGTATAAGAAATAGCTTTATATAAAGAATAATTGTACATTAAGAAAGCATCCCAGCCCAGTCCAGATCAAGTCCATAAGTCCGATATTAGCCCATATGTCCGATACAATCTATAAAGTCCTCTTCAGACTCACAAAACATACACAATGACACCAAATGCAGGAAGATCACAGGCCAGTGGGTGGGAAGTCTTGTGGATCCAGTGGCATTGTAAGCATCTCAGTACTGGCATCTCCACATGGCTTCTCCAGCTCCAAGGCTCTGGCTGCCATCAGCCTGTCTGCAGGTGGCCTGTCAATGAGGATGTCTCACAGGGACTAAGGAGAGAGAGTGTGTGTCTCCTGCCTCCCGGGAGGAATACCGGAGTTCTCAGAATCCTCAGGAGAAGGCCATTGACTATTACCTGATTGCCAGACAAGTTTCCACCCCTTCACTCTTAATCCTCTCAAATTGACAAACAATTCTATAACTACCACAGTGGCCCTGTGCACAGTAGAATAAAATGTTGCCTGGTCCTGCGCCATCTTCAGGATATATTTCAGGTCAGATCATTATGACCCATAGGGTTCAAATGGCCGGGTTTTGGAAAAAAGATTGCCAGTCCTTTCTTCCTAGTCCATGTTAGTCTGGAAGCTCTTTGAAATGTATTCAGCATCATAGAAACATGAAGGCCTCCACTGACCGACAGGTAGTAGCTGTGCATGAGATACAGTGACTGAGAATCAAGCCCAGGACTCCTGCATGGAGGACTGAAATTCTACCACTGAAGCACTGCTGCCTTAGGGAACCTTATTCCAGCCATTTTCAGGGGAGAAAATGAAGCCTAAAGAAAGGAAGGAGTTCCCTAGAAGCACACCTTTGGTGGGAGATAGCAGAATATGACTCACCAGAAAGTGGGCTGTTCAAACTCATCCAGGCTTGGAAGAAAATTCTGGAAATCTGCTTCTGAAAGATCCCAGCCTAGAAAAACATTGTAGCACTGCTTTCTCACATGGGGCCGCCATGAGTCAGATTCAACTTAACAGCAAGCAACAGCTGTCGACTAAATGGCTATTGTTTGTGAGAAACCGCGCAGTTGTTGTTGTTGTTAGGTACCATAGTGACCCCATATGTTGGAGTAGAACTGCCCTATAGGATTTTCTTGGCTGTAAAATTTAGAGGGAAATCACTAAGTTTTTCTCCTGCAGAGTAACTGGGTAAGTTTGAACTGCCAATCTTTCAGTTAGCAACTGAAAGCTTAATCATTTGCACCAGCAGATCCCTGTACTAGGTGTTCTATAAAAAAGGTCTTAATCGACTTTCATATACAAGTGCCCACAATGTAATTTAAGTTTAAGTAGAAAATTCTGCCCTCAATATGATTTGATGTGAGAATTTGGCCAAGTTTTTACCAGCATGCTTCTCTCCACTTTTCTTTTACTTTCTTCGACGGTAAAATCTCCCATATGATGGAAAGAATCACTGTTGGCAATTACAGGCTGTAAGAACTCTATAGGCTGAGGACTTAGAGTAAAAAGAAATGCTCTCTCTCTCTAAGCATTCCTCTCAGATCCTGAAAAAGAATCCTGTTTGACTCCGTGTGGGACATAATCCTAACCCCGAACAGAGAAGGGTCCTCTGATATCTAACTCAGGATCCTTGCCCATTTTGTGCCCACTTGTTTGGCAGTGCAGAAGGAATCATGAAATAATAAAGGGCATAATTGGTCATTCGTTTAGTCATTAATTCATCCCACAAATACTTATTAAGCATTTTTTCTATCTCGAAGGCATGTTCTTAAGTGGTAAGCCCAGAATGAAAAATAAAACAGACAGTGTTTTGCAGATATTAATGAGCGTGCTAAGCAAGCTCAATGAGTTAAAGTGACAGGTAGAGCATATCTGAGATGCCTTAGCTGGGAGTGTCAAAAGGAATGGGTGTGGACAGACCAAAATGGGACAGCTATCCGCTGCATTGTGTATTGCATCCTGCTGAACAGAAGAGGCAACCGAGATTTAGAAAATGTATGCTAAGTAACTCCCTGAGCTCACCTAACTAGCAAAATGTAAATCAAGAATTTGAACTCAGGTTGATTGATTATACCGCGCGTATCTTGATTCAGAGTTGAGACCTCCCGTCATATTAACCAATCCAAACACCGAACTCACTGCCATTGAGTCAAGAAGGACCCAAGGCGACTCTATAGAACAAGATAGAACTGCAATTGTGGATATCTGAGACTGTAACTCTATTTAGAATTGGAAAGCCCTTTCTCCCAATGAACAGCTTGCGGTTTCGAACAGCTGACCTTGAGATTCATAGCCCAATGAATAACCATTATGGCACCAAAACTCTCCCATCATATGTAGAGGAAGAAAAAAAATGCTGTTATGAAATCTTAAATAAAATGAACGAAAGGCCAATTTTTTTAATTATAAGGAATTAAAAAGCTAATTATGATAACATGATTCAGAATAAAAAGACTCAGAAGTACCTAAGCAGATCAATTTCATATATGTTGTCAGCTATGATAATACTATATAATTAAAAACTAAATATTTGTAACTGTCCTAAAATTAATCAGGTTATTTTCCCCCTTGGGTTCAGTAACTACAGGCTTACTATTGCTCACTGCTTTATTGGCTTGCTGTTTATTTGACTTTCTTTGCTTATTGCTCCAAGCCACAAAATGATTGAATGTAGTCATTTCAGAGCCACAAGTTCACTAGTATCATGGAGCCAATCCCTGGAAGCCGATGGTGCATATCGCTAGTACAGGGTGTGTTAGTGATGTTGTGTTCATAGCTAGATAGCCATCTCACTGGGAATGTTCACACCATGGAAATCATCAGCTGATGCTACAAATCAGAAGGATATTTAGCCCCACCATGAGTTGATTTTTCTTCATTCAGAGATGGACAGATAGCTGAAGGGATCTTTCTCTTAACTTATCATAGAATATCAAAACTTTCTAAGCAAAAGAGTTATTTTAGTACTAATTTATTTTGTATAATGTCAAACTTGAAAATTTGCAAGAATAATACAAACGTTTGACCCTGACTCAACAATAGAGCGTATTTTATTCACTAATGAGAACATGGACATTCTCTTACATAAACACAGTACACTTAACAAAATTGTAGAATTTAACATTTGCAACAATTCTATCAGAGCTCTGGTGGTGTTGTGGGCTAGGCAATCAGCTGCTAACCACAAAGTAGTTGGTTCAAACCTGCCGGCTACCCCACGAGAGAAAGAGAAAACTATCTGCTCCCATAACGATTGGCAGTCTCAGGAACCCTCTGTAGGGTCACTACGAGTTTGAATCAACTCCATGGCAGACTGATTGTTTAATGAGAACTGCTGGGCTACTCGGCAAAAGGTTGTCAGTTCAAACCCATCCAGAAGGTCTTCAGAAGACAGACCTGATCATCTGCTTCCAAATGATCAGAGTCTGGGAAACCTTCGGGAAGTTATTTTCCATATACATGAATCTCCATGAGTCAGAATAACAGGAGAGCATCTAACAACAACAGCATTGTAACAATTCTATAATAAAAACTATTACCTAATCCACAAACTATATTCAAATTTTGTCAGTTGTCTTTGTAATATCCTTTAAAACTTCTTTTTCCCCCACCAAGCCCAGGATGGTACGCTGCATTTATTTTTCTTTATCTCATTTTTCTCTCCTAGAACAATTCCTCAATCTTTATATTTCAGTACTGTGACATCATGTAACTGTACCGACCAATTATTTTTAGAATCATCTCCAGTTTGTATTGGTGATGAAATGGTGTGAGAGACACCTCTGGCTGCACAAGGGGGACAGTGAATTCAATTTCACATCTACCCAAGCTCACTTCCCATGAGGCAGAGGTCACATATGCCTCCACTCTCCACCCTCCTGTACTCTATTCCAACATCAACCATCCCTCTTACAACCCTCTGCGTCTCTACTGGGTATTGATAATCCATTAATATGAGTATACCTAATTTGCAGACAATACTCAGGATTATGGGAGTTTATTAAGGAAGTTAACAGGATCTGATCCTTTTGTCCATAATACCCCTTCTTAGCTATGCTAGCAGTCACACCTCTTTCAGCTCTTCACTCTTCAGCTGCACAGCCCATTGGCCACTGCCCTGCTCTGCTAGGCAGCTGTACTCGCCCAACAGTCTCATGGTCTTGGCACCGCTTCTCTTTTCTGTCTCCTGATCTCAGGACCCCACCTCTGGTGCCTTGCCTGCACTGCACTTCACACAGAGATGCTCAGCTGTTGACTCTTTTGTCTGGAGAGTCGTGGAATTTTCTGTTCCTGATTCTGAGATGGCTCATTTTTGTACTCAGTGAAATGGCAAAACTAACAGATACTTGAGCTAGAGTACTCTACACCTTGCTCCAGTTCAGCGACAGGGTGGCAATTACAAAGGATATGGAGAGAGAGCCATAGCAAGTTATTTCACTGCACTACACTTATAGGTTTCGTCAAATACATTTTAATGCAACCCCTTGCTAGCTAACATCTATCTGTGTGCTTATGCTTGTTTGTGTCTTTAAAGTACTAGGATAGTTAGTGAACCTAATCAGAAATAAATTGATTAAAAGAACACATAAAAATATTTTTAAATATTATCTAAACAAAATTTGCAAGTAAGAACTTCATTCCTTGATTTTTAATTTATTGTTTTTGCACCTTCTAGGTGGTGTTAAGAACATTTTTTTAACATGGATCTCGAAGCCCCTATTTGGGTTCATATCTTAGTTAAACCAAGTGAACAAAAAATATATGCTTTGTGAACCCCATATTCAGAGTATTCCTTTAAAATAGGAATATGACCTGTTAATGACTTAAGCTTAAGAGAAGCCATAGTGTTGGTGCTTAGCCCATGCACCTGGTAGAAGGCATAAGGTTGTTCCAATCTTGTGGTCAGAAGACATAATATTTTAGTTGCCAGAAGAACTTAATATCACTCTTTGGAAACTGTTAGTCCGTTTTTTTCTGTTGTTTAGGAATAGGTAAGTTATTCAGAAATGTGCTAATGCATGAACATTATGTAATGGAGAAAAGTTTCAAAAGGCTATAACTGTACAAATCATCATGTTGTTGAAAGATCCAAGTAAATAGTCAAGCCTGAAAGTGAATCAGGCTTAAAGATGTGGTCTTGCAGTCTGGGGTCCAAGTTATTGTTGTGAAATATTGATATTGTTTGTAAGTACTTCTGGAAGTGTTACACACCCTTGTTCCTAGTTACTGCCACTCTCTCCAGAGTATAGACAAATACTCAGCTAGTATTTAGACACTCAGCTCATAGCTACATATGCATGTCAGATTAAATCTAACTTTAAGTAAATTACCACTTTGGATAATTTTTTCAAGCATTCATTTTGGCATTCATTAACCTTCTGAATGTCTCTTTAGACACAAGTCCCCATGAAAACACAACCCAAAGTAAAAAGGAAGAGCGTCATTTGCTTTGATTCCTTTGGTCCAAAATCAATTCTTTTAGATTCAGGATAAATTTAACTCATTACTAAATTAGTTTGTTTGTATAATTTTGAATTTCTTTTGAACAAGCATGCTCTGTGACCTGAACCTCCTTCTCTTGGGGTACTTGTAGTTCACGGAGCATGGAGCCCTTGGCAGCCCTGGGGTGCGTGCAGTCAAAGTTGTGGCAAAGGTACCCAGACAAGAAGGAGGCTGTGCAATAACCCACCCCCTTCATTCGACGGATCCCACTGCAAAGGAGCAGAAACACAAATGCAAGTTTGCAATGAAAGGCTCTGTCCAGGTAAGGAAAGTACAATGTGTATGCCTTTGTCTTAAATCTGTGGCGTAGGGAGATCCGGAGCTCCCAGTCTGAACACTGCCAGTTCAAACCCATTCAGTCCCTCTGCGTGAGAAAGGCCCAGCAGTCTGAGTCCATGGAAAGTATAGCCAAGCGTACCTGTGAGGCAGCTTTACTCTGTCACGTGGGGCAGCACCCAGCAGCAATGATTGTTAGTATTGTATGTCATGATCATCCATTCCATCCTGGCTGTGCTGCACAAGAGGGATCGCTCAACCTAACAACGTCAGGAATTTCATCTGATCACATTTAGTTGGTAACACCTGATGTTTTCTTCCCCCAAACTAGTTGATGGCAAGTGGGCGACATGGGCCAGCTGGAGTGCCTGCACTGTGTCTTGTGGAGGAGGTGCCAGGCAAAGGACGAGGGACTGTTCTGACCCTGCTCCACAGTACGGAGGAAGCAAATGTGAAGGCAGTGATGTCCAGAGCGATTTTTGCAATAGTGACCCTTGTCCAAGTGAGTGTTGGAAATAATGATTCACCATTACAATTCCTTGAAGTTTCATCAGAGCCTTAAGTCCCTTAAGTTATGTTATGTTACTTGATCAATGTCCCGACGGTTTAGACTCTCTGTGTGGTGGCTGCGGAGCTGTGTTATCTTCTAGATGTCATTGATAGGGACATGGCCTGGGGCTCGGTGCTGTGGAAGGCACTCTGACATGCTACTGAAGGGATGTTGATAATTCCTTTTCCTTAACTCACTGATGGAGTTATATGTGTAGACCCTAGCAGCAACATGGCATCTGGATACTTGAATGTTGCTATATTCTGACGTACAGTTATGGCTCAGGGAGAGCAGAGAGCCTGTCTCATGCACATCTTCCAGCTCCCGGAATATTTAAGACTCAATAGGTGGATACTAAATGGAATCATACAAACACTGGAATGACATCCGCTTTCTGGTCAAAACAACTGCGAAACGCTCTACCTTTGGAAGCTGTCTATTCATCGATTTTGTATGTTTCCTTGTAAAATTCCTGAATGAGATGTTCCTACCTAGGACATCACCTGTGGATGGCTCTGTTTCATGTCCAGTGATTCTGTCTTTGTAGCTCATGGTCACTGGAGTCCGTGGAGCGGCTGGGGGATGTGTAGCCGGAAGTGCAGCGGAGGGCAAATGCGGCGCTACCGCACATGTGACAACCCTCGTCCCTCCAATGGAGGGAGAGCTTGCGGGGGGCCCGACTCCCAGATCCAGAGATGCAACACTGACATGTGCCCTGGTGAGTTCCCTGACTCCCGGTGGTAGAACAAGTCCAACATTTCATTAGTGCTTACTGGAACAGCCTGTCCTCTGTTCTTGAAATGGAAGAGGCACAGGCGAAGTCACCCTTAGTATAGACTTCATCACCGACCTGTAAATGTTGCCCATTGCACTTCTGTTCACAGTCGACGGAAGTTGGGGAACCTGGCACAGTTGGAGCCGGTGTTCGACCTCTTGTGGAGGAGGAGAGAAAACTCGGAAACGCTTGTGTACCAATCCAGCCCCATCTAGACACGGCCGCCCCTGTGCGGGAGATGCTACGCAGGTATCCAGATGCAGTGTTCAAGCATGTCCAGGTAAGTAACCAATGCAGCTTTGGAAGGACCATTTACTGGCTTTGTACAAATTAGAAGACAGCACCACTGTGCACCCCCAAATTACCAAAGGAGGCCAACCCTGGGAGTAGGAATTAGAGAAAGAATCACTTTTTTTCCCTGCTTGATATAATTCTACATCAAGGCTTATGAGTGGATTTTAGCCTCAGCTCGATGCCATGTATGCACTTTTATGAAAGAAGTCTGGCCCTCATAATCATAAACGGTATTACTAGACTCCACATGTAAAAGGGCAAGGGAGAGTGAGAAATGCCAAGTTGAGAGTGGGGTGGGGGAAGGGCACAACCGGAAGCCGTTTATTCCAGGATGAGCATTTGGAGGACACAAACGAGTGTAGTGAGTACAACAGGGTCACCTTCAGGCAAGGAGAAAGGGCAGTGATACAAAAATGTAGAAGGAACAAATCAAGAGTGCTCGGACTCTCAGGACATGGAAAGAATGTGCTGGGATTCCACAACATAGTGCTCCTCTCTGAGGACAAACATCTAAGGGCTGTAGCACGAGTAACAGGAATGGTTTCACACTGTCCAAGTATCAGTACACCATCAGAATTTCCAAAGTTTTAAAAGGTCAATGTCACTGGAAGTCCACAGGGCCCTTGGCCGAGTTCAGTAGGGGAATCGTATGAATCGTATTCAGTAGGAATAGCTACCAGTCAGCTGCTCAGTATATTTGCTCAGAATATCAACACGTTAGGAAAGATTTTTAAAGCTCAAAGAAATAAACATAGTGACATTTCTGATTTAATTGAGGCAGTTTGTAGCTCAGCGTCTGGCGCTATCAAGGCTCTGTGGCCGCAAGAAGTGCAAAATAGGAAGACAGTTTGAGCTAAAGAAGTCTGGCAGAAAGCTTCAAGGATTTTAGGTTGCCAGAGCTGGAAGACTTCTGTTGATCACTGGCTCCAAAGAAGCTCCTCAGTAAGCAACAAGGTCAAGTGTAAGAACAACCTAGTCAATAGAGTGACTCAAAGGACAGTTAAATCTTGGCTCTTCTACTACATTTTCACCCCCTTAGGACTAAAAGTAAAGGCCCAAATGAATTACCAGGTTTTAATAGGCCCCATTTCTGCTTTTCTACTTCATCCTAAACATGGCCTCTCTCACTATCTCTTCTCTGTGCATCTTCTGATTCTTCAGCTGTGGCAAGCCACCTCCGTCCACACATACAACAAAAACAAACACAAATATGCTGTTTCTTTTACCTGGAATGGTCTTCTCCTGCCCCCTGGCTTTAATTAGGGTCTAATTCTCCCTTGGGGGGGCCACTGTATTTTCATTTCCTCAATGAGGAACCTGGTGGGTTGTGCATTGGGTTGATAACTGAAAGGTCACTACTTTGGACCCACCATCTACTCTGAAGAGAACGATGTGTCAGTCTACTTCTCAAGCATCGCCTGCCTTGGAAATTCTCTGAGGTAGCTCTACTTTGTCCCATAGGTTTGCTATGAGTCTGAATCAAGTAAATAATGATTAATTGGGGGTTGGGTTTTGAGTACTGGATATATTATACATTACTACATTTCAGCTTTACTCTTATTTGTTGGATGTTGAATAATGTCTACCTTCCCTACTAGGATATAAAATACATGAAAGCACGCTTTACATCTTCCCCTCCCTCACACTTTACACAATACTTGATGAACAAATGTATTCCAGGAAATGAGTCTGTAGGGAGAAAAAAGTTTTCTTTTTGTCTAATCAAACCCATACAAATGAAAATGTCAAGGAGCCCATATAAACTGAAACCTCAGCATTTTGAGCTACCGTATTTACCCCACCACGTGTCTATCCATCTATCGTATTGTAGGTGGCTGGTGTGATGCTGTGATGCTGAACGCTATGTCACTGCTATTTCAGGTACCAGAAGGGGCACGCAAAGCGAACGGATTTCAGCAGTGTCCAAACCAAGAACAGACCACGAAGAAAGAATAGGTTGTGTACACCTCAGAGGAATGAGCCATTTAAAACCTTGAGAATATCGTCAAATATTGTCAGTTACTGGAATCTTAATAAAGCGAAGCTAACATCATCAGAGATAGGGCCAGAAGATGAGCCTCTAAGGTCAGAAGGCACTCAAACTAATGCTGTGGGAAAGCTGTCTTCTCAAAGTGGAATGGACCATAATGATGGCGATGGTGTAACGCCTGTGGTAGTAAAGCCTTTGAGACCCTCATTTGCTGATGGGGTACAACTCAAAATGAGAAGAAACTGTTTAAACTTGAAATGTACAAAGTATGAATCTAGGCAAATTAGAAGCCGTTCAAGGTGAAATGGAAGGCATAAAGATCAATATTTTAGGTGTTAATGAGCTGACATGGATTATTATTGGCCTTTTTGAATCAGAAAATCAAATGGTTTATTATGCCAGGAATGACACAATCAAGAGGAATGGCACTGTGTTCACTGTCAAAAAGGACAACTCAAGGTTTATCTGTGATGGGATAACGTCTATCCCATCACTACAACTATTGTAGTATTAAGTTAAAATGGCGATGGGTGGGGACGCGGTGAGGGGTCAGCCCCCACCGCTACTACTACTTATGGGTTCAGTAATGCACAATCATACGGTTGAGATATATAAGTATTATATTAAAGTCATCGAGAGCATGAGAGATATTACAATAATGCAGTTAGACACACTACATGGTAGCATTGCTCACCTCAGCCCAGCTTGGTGGTCCACGTGGAGAGAGGGGGAAGGGAAAGAGGGCAAGGGAACAAGAGAGAGAGGATGGGAGAGGGGGAAGAGAGGGGAGCCAGAGAGAGGGGTCAGAGAGGTCAGAGGGAGGGGTCAGAGAGGTCAGAGAGAGGGGTCAAAGAGAGGGGTCAGAGAGGTCTATATTGCTGACCCATGCCTATATGCCTTTTGGGGGCATGCCAGCCCACTAATTACAGGTAGAGACATACGTCACAGGAAGGGGTTGCACTATAGGTTACTCAGTAATGAGGGGGTGGTCTCTGGGTCTCCATAGGAACCATTATCAGTAGGGTGAAAACTCCGCCTACAGGAGCCTGTCCATTGTCCCCAGAGGCAGGGAGCAGGCCCACCCCTGTGGTGGGATGAGACAGAAGTCTGGCAAGTGATTGCACTTGGGGGGCAGGGGGGAGGGGGGATGCCTACGCATCTGACCTCCCCCCACAAACTATTATTCAAATTTATGTGCCAACCACTAAGCCTATTGATGCAGAAATTGAAGAATTGTATTCTTCAGTTGTAAATTGATTTAACATGTAAACAATATGCATTGAACATTATTGGTGATTGGAATGCAAAAGTTGGAAACAATGAGGAAGAAACAGTAGTTGGAACTATGGTCTTGGTGATAGAAACAAGGCTGGGAATAGCATGGTAAAATTTTGCAAGACCAATGGCTTACTCATCACAAATAAATACTTTCAACACAAAAGGGGGCTTCTCCAGATGAAATACGAAAAAGTAAAATTGACAACATTTGTTGGAAGAAATAACGGAAAAGCTCAATATCAGCATCTAAAACAAGGCCAGGGACCAACTGTGGAACAGATCATCAATGACTCATATGTAAGTTCAAGTTGAAGTTAAAGAAAATTAAAACGAGTCCATGATAGCCAAAATACAATTGAGTATATCCCACATGAATTTTCAGAGCATGTCAAGAACAAATTTGAGGCACCAAACACTAATGGTAGAAGACCTAAGGAACTGTGTGGTAGGACATCAAGAACATCATATATGAAGAAAGCAAAAGGTCATTAAAAGACAGGAAAGAAATGATCAGTGTGGATGTCAGAAGAGACTCTGACACTGGCTCATAATCAATCATAGAGTCTCTAAGACACATGAATGAAATGATGAAGTGAAAGAACTGAATAGAAAATTTCAAAGGGCAGCTCAAGAAGACAGAGTCAAATATTATAATGAATTGTGCAAAACCCTAGAGTTAGAAAATCAAAAAGGAAGAAAATGCTCAGCCTATCTTAAATTGAAAGAACTCAAGAAAAATGCAAGCCTTGTTTTGAAATCTTTCAAGATTCTATGGGGAAAATATTGAATGATTCAGGAAGCATCAAAAAAAGATGGAAAGAATACACAGTCACTGTATCAAAAGAATTAGTCAACATTCAGCCATTTCAAGAGGTAGCATATAAGCGAGAACCAGTGGTACCAAAGGAAGAAGTCCAAGCTGCACTAAAAGCATTTGCCAAAATCAAGGCTCCAGGAATTGAAATGTTTCAACAAACTAACCAGGCATTGGAAGAACTCACTTGTCTATGGCAGGAAACTTGAGAGACAACACTTGGCCAAGTGACTGGAAGAGATCCACATTTGTACCAATGCCAAAGAAAGGCAACCTCACAGTATGCTCAAATTATAGAACGCAAATCATTGATACCACATGCAAGTAAATGTTTTCTGAAGAGCACCCAACAATGGGTGCAGCAGTCCATTGACAAGGGGCTGCTAGAGGTTCAGGCTGGAGTTAGAAGAGGATGTGGAACAAGGGATATCAATGCTGATGTCAGATGGATCTTAGCTAGAAGCAGAGACTACCAGAAAGATGTTTACTTGTGTTTTATTGACTGTCCAGTCAGATTGGGAATTCCAGAACACGTCATTGTTCTCATGTGGAACCTGTACATGGATCAAGAGACAGTTGTGTGACTAGAACAAGGGAATATTGCCTGTTTCAAAATCAGGAAAGGCGTGCATCAGGGTTCTATCTTCTCACCATACTGATTTAATCTGTGTGCCAGGAACTAGATGATGGAGAAGAGTGGGGCATCAGGATTGGAGGAAGGCTTATTAACAACCTGCAATAGGCAGATGACACAGGTTTGTTTGCTGAAAATGAGAAGGACTGACGCACTTGCTGGTGAAGATCAAGGACTGCAGCCTTCAGTGTAGCTTACAACTCAGTGCAACGAAAACCAGAATCCTTACAACTCGACCAATACGCGACATCTCATAACTGGAGAAAAGATGGAAGGTGTCAGTTATCTCATCTTCCTTGGATCCCAATCCGTGCTCACGGCACACATCAAAGGAGGTATTTCATTGGTTAAATCTGCTGCAGAAGACCTCTTCAAAGTATTGAAAGCAAGGGTTTACAGCCAGAATGCTCTTTAGAGACAAGGATGGCAAGACGTCATCTCATGCACGCTGAACATGATATCAGGAGAGACCAGTTCCCGGGGAAGGACATCATGTTTGATAAAGTGGAGGGGCATCAAAACCGAAGAAGGCCCTGGATGAGATGGACGACACAGCGGCTGCAACAGTGGACTCCCACATAAGAACGCTTGAGGATGGTGCAGGACTGGTGTATTCGGCACAGTTCTGTAGAGAAGCAAAACCAGGACACTTTATATATATAATATATATAAAGAGGTTTATGTAGTGAAAAGGAATATAACTGCAAATCAGTCCACACAGCAGTACAAACAGCTTGGTCAACACACTTCCGTGGTCAGTTAATCTACCGAAGACCCTTCCAACTCACGCGCCCCCTCGCCCAAGGGCAAGGAAACAGGCAGGAGGAAGGTGAGACGTCAAGGTGGAGCTCTCGGCCAGCAAGGCAATGTAGTGAAGTGCATCGCGGTGGAGCCTCACAGAGTAACATGCCAGGTGGCTGGCTGGCTGGAGGTGCGGCATCTGCAGTGGTGGCAGGACAAGTGGAGTCAGCCCACAAGCAGCAGACACGGCAAGGCCAAGGCGGGGCAGTGTCGCGGGGTGGAACAGCATGGCACAGCTATGGAGTCCACCACAGTCCATGGGTTGGCTCTACCCACCGATAGCACAGCACAGGTGATGAGGCAGAGCAGCAGCACCAGGCAGGGCGTCGGACTGACCACCAGGGAGAGAGAGGAACTGGCCTCCAGAGCCATTCATTTCAGTGCCACCTCCAAAGGAAGTCCACTAGCTGGAACCTGATTGACCGGCTAAACTCCACCCATGTCTTCCTACAGGGGCCATGCTGGCACAAAAGACTAACTATCACAACTGGGCAGTGTTTCGTTCTGTTGTACACAAGCTTGCTATTAGTCACAGCTGACTCGATGGCACCTAACAACAACAACAACGTAGATACTGTTTTTTTCTGAGGTTGATTACTGCTGTACACTGCCCCACCCACAGGCTATCCAGCAGTCTCTGAAATAACCAGTGATTGTTTTGTGGTGTTTTCAATTAAAAGACATCACCGTATGTTTATTAATTGCACGATCAGTTTCTCTCCACCATGTCTCTTCTTTTGTCGAAGCCTGCTGTGCATGTAAGACCCATCACTGGCCGCCTCTTCTAGGGGTGGGTTTTTGTGGCTGTTGGGACAGTTGGGTGCCCTTGAGTCAGTTTCAGCCCCTAGTGCTCTTAGGAAGCGCTGCCCGGGCCTGCGCCCCCCTCGCACTGTTAGAAACCAGCAATTGTGGTGCACAATTGGAAGAAGGCATAACTTACTTTAGAAATGCGTAAACGCTATGTATACATATGTGTGTGATTGTTTTCTCATTATAACTGTATTGGTATGAATTCTGTAGCCCTGTTGAAAGTACAAAACACCTTTTCCAATTGTTTTGCTCAAAGCTCACCATTTTCAAATGTAGATGTCATTTTCTCACAGTGAAGAACTGAATAAAAACTAGATTTACTGTGATGAAAATCTTGCTCTAAAAATCTTAAAGTGAACAATGAATGTCATGTAGATACTCTACATTTGTATTAACAAGACCTTTTTAGGGGTTGTTTAGGGGCTGAGACCCTGCTTGCTGTGAGGTCTCCAGATACTCATTCTATGCTGATTTGCTATAAAACCTTAGAAAAAGTCCCGTTTTTCCTAATTGAATTTCAATTTCCTTGTCCAAAAACGGTGGTTACATAAAGCTAACTTAGAGGATTATTGATAAGACTAAATGAATGAACACATATTTAATTCTTACTCTAGCACATGACATGTTCAATAAATTCTCATGAGCCTTATTACATCATCACCATCAATAAACATACTTTATTTTGGTTTGGGGTCTGGCTATTGATTGTTTTCTTTGACTTGTGAAATAATTCTGTGATTGATGTATAAGGATCCTAAATTTATGTGGGACGATGGCAGTTACATGCAATTAGAATGTTTCCAAAGTTTATTTATTCCACTCTTAAATTCAGATGTCATCAGATCTTTTTAATGGTGAGGAAAAGATTGGTTGTGACTCTGAATATTGACCTTTGATTTCACATCATGTTGATGGGAGGAGCCCTGGTGGCACCGTGTTTAGAGCACTCAGCTGCCGACTGAAATATCGGTAGTTCAAACCCACCAGCTGCTCATCAGGTGACAGAGAGCAAGTCTGCTTCTGTAAAGATTCACAAACTGGAAAACTCTTTCGCCCAGTTCTACTCTGCCCTACAAGGTGGCTATGAGTTAAAATCCGCTTGACAGCATAGAGTTTGGTTTGGAGTTAGAATGTTATTCTCTGATCCAGGAATGTGGTTTCTTCCCTCAATAGGTGGACCACAGCGAGCCCGAGGAAGTGTAAATGGAAATATTAATGATGTTGAATTTGGAATTGCTTTTCTTAATGCCACAGTCACAGATAGCCCTAACTCTGATACTAGAATAATACATGCCGAAATTACCAATGTCCCTCGAAGTCTTGGTAAGTCTCTTTGCTCATAAATGTTGTTAATGAGGTTAATGAGCCTCTTTTAAAATTACTTATATATGATTCTTCATTTTACTATTCCCACTTACAGTTTCAGAGAAGATAGTCCTATTCATGATCAATATGATATTCCTTAGTCCTGTCCTACTGATAAGCTCTTAAAGACATTTGATGTATTGATATTTGTTTTGTTATTATTCAATGTTAATTTGGCCTTCTCCTTATAGAAAAATAATAATGGAGTGTATTTGTTATATATCTTTCATTTTCTTAGGTCCAGCAATGAGAAAGATCGTTTCTATTTTAAACCCTATTTATTGGACAACAGCAAAGGAAGTCGGCGAGGCCGTCAATGGCTTTACCCTCACGAATGCGGTCTTCAAGAGAGAAACCCAAGTTGAATTTGCAACGGGTTAGTGTCAGCTGAACTTAATATCCGAGTAGTATAAAAACACAATGACTGCCTTAAAAGTTGGTGGGTAAGAAGAATAGTTATGTGTTCTAGTAAAGAATAATTTCAAAGTGCTTGATGTGGTTTTATTATAGATGGTATGAAAGCAATTTCCCATTTAGGTGTAAACCTACACTGACATGGGGCTTATAAGAGACCATATGTTTCCAACAGAGACTTTTACACCCTAAGGAAATGTTTTGAGAATGATGAGGGCAATGAATGTACAAATGCGCTTTACACAATTGATGTGTGTATGGATTTTAATTTAATTTAATTTCTTGTTAAGTCCTTAGGGTCTTAAAGGCCAGAGCAGAGCAGGAAACTGAGTCATTGTTCTAAACTAAAAGCCTTGTCAGTGAACATGAAGGTTCTGATTCTTTTATTACAAAGGTGGAAATAAAACCAAATAAAGGATTTTTACTTTAATCATCACCCTTGGTGGACACACATTAGCTAACCAGGGCCTGGTGGCACAGCGGGTTACGGGTTCAGCTGCTGACCGCTCTGCAGGAGAAAGACAAGGCTTTCGACTCCCTGCAAGGTTACAGTCTGGGAAACCCAGAGGGGCAGCCCTATTCTGTCCTGTAGGGTTTCTGTGAGTCAGAATTGAGGAGATGGCAGTGATCGATAGTCAGCCCTTCAACTCTTTGGAATGGTCCCTTTGTAAATGGCTCCTCAGGAAGAAGAGTTGACGGAGGGGTTGCCTTTAACTAGCATTCAGTTAGTCCCAAAGACAAGCTGACCTTTTTGAGCCTATCCACTTACCTAACGACAGTTGGTTCCTTTTGGAGGTAGCCAAAAGAGCAAAAGCCCCCATGGCCAGGGTCGTGGCACTGCCAGTCTCTCTGCAGAAGCTGTCCATCCTTCTCACAGGCCATTTGTGTTTGTAGAATTACCCCGCTACTGCTTGTTTTAAATGTAGAACCCTTCAAATAATCATACGCTAGATTTTTTTGCCATATGAAAAGAAATTTTACATGTAGGTCTTCAAGTGGGGATGAGGGAGCATATTAAATGCGGATTGAATTCTCTGTCTCTTCATTCACGTTTGAAGGAGAATGGCATAGCTGAACTGATCGATAAATTGATGAATTGATAGGATCATTTTGCTCTGTGCTTACACCAGTCATGTTTCTTTGTGGTTCAAATGAATTCATCCTACTCCTCAGGAGAGATCTTGCGGATGACTCATGTTGCCAGGGGCTTAGATTCCGATGGTGCCTTGCTGCTGGACATCCTCCTGAGTGGCTATGTGCTGCAGCTGCAGTCACCAGCTGACGTCACTGTAAAGGTAAAGTTTCAGAACCTCCTGCCTTCACATTCAGGATCCCTGGCAGCCCAATGGTCACGCAGCTTGGCTGTTAACCAAAAGGCGGCACGAGCTACTCCTGAAGAGAACGATGTGGCAGTCTGCTTCCATAAAGATCACAGCGTCAGAGCCCCCTGGAGACCGGTCTACTCTGTGCTACAGGGTTGCCGTGGTTTGGAATTGACTTCGTGGCAGTGGGTTTAGGTTTTTGTTTGTTTGTTTATTTGTGTTGGCCTTCATTGTTTACTGGAGTAATGGTAGAGTATGACACTAGGCATGTAAATTACCAGGTTAGACATGATTATATGGTCTTTGCTTAAAATTTTTCAGAGACAGTTTACAAAATCGTGGCCTTTTTAGTACCTTGCTTATCAGAATCAGTATGACATTACTATGTTGAGTTAATTTCCATGGTCTCTTTAATTTTCCATAGCCATGAAGAATACTAACCTTTCTATTAAAGCTTCTGTATGCTGTGCAAAAAAGCATGCCTTCAGTTCAGGAAGAGAGCCATAACGCTTTGGCAGCTTTCCATTACATTCCACCACGAGCTCTGAGCCCCCTACTATGCTTTAATATGTGGTGATACAATTAAGAAAGTAATCTAGGGACAGTAAAATGGTCCCAACTTTAAGTTATTTCCTGAACACTAATATATAATCAGAATTATATTTGAAGCAATGTATTTTTAACGTGTTAAGCTGTTTCTCTTGATTCTATATCGCATAATATTCTCAAGAAGTATCCATTATGAATCATGTTGGTATTCAAATCCACACTGTCCTCTTCAGGATTACACCGAGGACTACGTTCAAACAGGCCCCGGGCAGCTGTACGCCTACTCAACCCGCTTGTTCAGCGTGGATGGCATCAGCGCGCCCTATACATGGAACCACACCATTCTCTATGACCAGGCACACGCAAGAATGCCCTTCTTGGTGGAAACGCTCCATGCATCCTCTGTGGAATCGGACTATAACCAGTTAGAAGAGACCTTGGGCTTTAAAATACATGCCTCAATTTCCAAAGGTAATTTGTTATAGGGCAGGTCATCTCTTTATGTCACTTGTCTTTTCTGGAAAAGTAAAAAAAAATGCATTGATAGCATTAAAAAATAACAATATAAAACATACTCCCCACACAACAAGATTGAGGTCTTGGTTAAGGTGACCAGATTTAAAACGGGACACCATTGACGGGGGTGGGGGTAGGGGGATGGTAGGGGGTGGTTTCCTTGATTAAAAATTTGGTCTATATAGACCAAATAGACCGTTCCCTAGCTTGTCGTGCATTCTTTCCAAAAATCGGGACATTTTTAAAACGCCAAAAATCTGGACTGTCCTACCAAAAGCGGGACGTCTGGTCACCTTAGGTAGTTCAATGACAGAATTTTCATCCTCCATGCAGTAGGCCCTGGTTCGATTCCCAGCCAATGCACCACATGGACCGTCACCAGGCCTCTGTCCATGGGGGTTGCTATGACTCCCAGCAGATTCTAGTGGAGCATCCAGACTAAGAGGGACAAAGAATGGCCTGGAGTCTAGTTTCAGAACTGGTCCAAAGAAAACACAGCTGTGTGATCCCCATTGATTTGTGGGCATGGCACAGGATCGGGCAGCAATTTATTGTTCCTGGGGTTACAGCAGCTGGCAACACTGCCACCATGATGGTGTCAGGTTTTTGTATGTGCTGGCTATGTTGTGTGGGAAGTAAACCCTCTGGTAAAGCCAATCCAATTGAAGTTCGAATAGACTTAGTTCACGAATCTTCACACAGCATCATGAAGGTGCTACGGTTTTATTCCATTTACGTGGAGGTGGCTGATAATGTCAAATCCGTCAAAAACATCTCCGTTTGAGTAATAAAGTTCATTTGTTATTGTTCTGAATCATATGCTTACCAAGGCATTTTATTAATTCCTGGAGCAAAATGTAAAGGTGCATCTTGGCCCAAGGTGGGCTCCAACTCTGAGAGCCCGTGTCCAGCAGAACGAACCGCCGCCTGCTCCTGCCCGTTGGCACAGTCGTTCTGTTTGAGCCCACCTTTGTGGCCACTTTATCAACCTAGCTCATTGAGAGTCAAAACGCTCCCATACTTTAAAATCTCCTTTTGCAATGGTATAGCAATAATCAGTATTGTTATTTCCTGTTGCTCACAAATATAAATTTTGAACAACTTTCCTCTTTTTAATGGAGTCCTGGTGGTGCTGGGGGTTGGGCATTGAGCTGCCAATTGCAACTTCCTCAGTTCAAACTCTGCAGCCACTCTCTGGGAGAAAGACGAGGCTATCTGTTCCCATAAAGATTTATAGACTCAGAAGCCCTTAATACACTGAGATAGAATCAACTCAATGACAGTGGATTTTCAATTTTTTAAGCATAGTTTTGCAACCTTTGATCTCAGTATTCCCGTATTGTGTGTGGTTCTTTGATGTGTCTGTCTGCTGAGATTTCCCTTTCAGTCATAAGAGGCACCACAGCTAATAGCCTTCCACATTCTGTGGGGTTTGGGTGCAGGGAGACTTCTGTATATTGTTGTTACAGACACTAAGTTTTTGCAAAGCTCCGGTTCATAAGATCTCATGAGTAAGCATGGGATAATTTACATTGACTTTGGTGTTTTTCTGTGTGCTGGGAGAAGTTCTACTTTGTCCTATATGATCATTATGAGTCAAAATTAAGTCTATAGCAGTGAGTTTGCATTAGTTTGATTGTTTTTGTTTGTTTGTTTTATTTTGGCTTTCTTAAAACAGATCCAAGTAGATTTGTGTATGTGTGTGTTTCCTCATGGTTTATTTTTTAATCATTTTATTGGGGGCTCATACAATTCTTATCACAATCCATACATACATCCATTGTGTCAAGCACATTTGTACATTTGTTGCATTCTCAAAACATTAGCTTTCTATTTTAAACATTGCCTTTTTTATCACATGTAATAGATAAATAGAAATTTCATTTTCACTATTTCTTCTTTCCTTCCTCTGATGTACAAAGGACAGTCTTCTTCAGTATCTGTCACAATTGCTCCATGAAATTTGAAATTATAGTAAGATAAGAATATGTGGTCACATTTTAAAAAGTAATTATGGATTCATAAAACCAATAGCCAGTGTTCTCCCGTGCCCCCAGTCACACTGCTCTGCCACTATCGCATTTTCCTCTTGGCATTTTGGGCACTCACATAAAAAGAAGAATTACTGGAATGGTGATTTTCCATTGTAAGAAGTATGTTTACTTTCTACTCTATTTCTACCTTCTTAATACTTCATCCAAGTTAAAAGATAAGTAGGTATGAGATATTGGCTAAGATTAATTTGTAATGTATATTGTAATGAATTTGTAATTTAACTTGCTTTCAAAGCCATGTGTACTTTCTATCTAGTTCTGTAAGCCCTGCTTGAACAACTTTTTGACATCTGTCAGGATGTTGTTGGGAAACTTGGGTCCCACAGTATAGGGAGATACATTATTGAACATCACTGCCCCATCCTATGCATCCAGACAATGAGCCTATGAATTACAGCTGATATTTGTGTTATTGTTGATTCTTTTCCTGTGAATTGGAAGGACTCTGTACCACAGTTTATGTCTTATTGACCACTAGGGGGCAGGCTTGCATTCTTGGTAGCTTAACCAGCAAGTTATTTCTCCTTTTATGTTGGTCTAGTAGAGCTATGGTTACAGCGCATTCAAATCACCTCAAGAGCTTGAAGAAAGCGCAAACACCTGGGCCCAAAAACCTTTGGTTTAGTAATTCTGAGAATGTATACATTTATCACAGTGGATAGATGATTCCAATGCAGGTAATTTGTACACGGGTTTCTTGGAGTCCACTTACCAAACACAAGTCACAAGTATGTATTTTTCTTACAGAACTTTTAAGTCATTAAAATTAAATTATGCATGTTAAAATTTAGTGGTGAAATGTGTTTATATTTTAAACAATCATCAGAAAATATCAGAAGAAATAAAGAAAAAACTTTCATTAGAATTTTTAAAAGACCTCTTTAAGAGAGAAGGAAACATAAAAATGACAATCAAATATGTATCAAGAAAAATATTTCCATCATATGTTATATGTCAAGCTTAATATGAACCAGCTTCCCCAAGTCGGTAAGAAAAAACAAGTGCCCCAATTGAGAAAGACAACCACGTACACACAGACATAACGAAGAATGTCAGAGATTGTCAGCCCGTTGCTAAAGAAAGCAACGCAGAGGCAATAAGATCCCACTTTCCAGCCATCACTGTCGGATTAAAGAATATAATAATCCCCCAGTATTGGAGATCTGTGGGGGAAATAAGTGAATACTTCATATACTGTCGACTGAACAACTATTGGTTCAACTTTTCTGGAAAGCCGTATGTATTAGTGTGTTAGTCTGGGTTGACGAGAGAAACAAATCCACAGACACTCATGTGTGTATAAGAAAGAGCTTTATATAAAAGAGTAATTGTATATTGAGAACACATCCCAGCCCAGTCTAGATCAAGTCCGTAAGTCCAATATTAGCCCATATGTCCGATACTAGTCTATAAATACCTCTTCAGACTTGTGGAATACATGCAATGACACTGAATGCAGGTAGATCACAGGCCAGAGGGTGAAAAGTCTTGTGGATCCAGTGGCGTGGAAGCATCTCATCTCCATGCTGGCGTGAGTTTCCATGTGGCTCCTCCAGTTCCAGGGCTCTGGCTCCATCAGCGTAGCCCCATGTGTCCCACATCCAGGGAGGAAGACAGAAGTTCCCAGAATCCTCAGGAGAAGGCCATACCCACACAGAGTCTAGCTTGACAGGCTAGACTCCACCCCTTTGCAAATTGACAAGAGATTACATAACTGCCACAATTAGTAACGTTTCCGATCTTCAAATATTTTTCAGTTATTTCATTTAAGGAATCTACTCACAGAAAATCATAGAAATGGCCAAAAATATATGGGAACTTTAAGAAGTTTGTGGAAAAATTTTATCTTTTAATTCCCTTTCCACATACTTTCTGAAGCCCCCTCATATATCAAGGAAGTTTCATCCAGTGTTATTTATAAAGAAAAATGATCAAACCATGTCCTGGAAATAGAAGATAAATATGTAAATTATAGCACCCCCATATGATAAACTCAAACAATAATACATGTTAAAGAAATGTTTAACTCATTTACTTAGCAAATATTTGTTGAATGCCCATCATGTACTAGACACTGTTCTAAATATTGTCAATATAAGTATAAGCAAATGATGTTGGAGAATGTTCATGACATAATAATAGTTAGAAAGCAATGTACACTTAGCTCAATATCAGACTTGCTCACACCTGAGTGATTATAAAATTATAATCACTGGTTTATACTGGTTAAGCATATGTTTTCAAACCTCTTCCTTACCTTCTCTAATTGTTGTGAAACTATGAGAGCTATCTAAGTAAGATCTCTAAGTAATTTTTATGATCATTAAAATTTTGCAATTGTTAGTCTCTGGAGAAATATACTAACAATATTTTAAAATATATATTTATAAAAAATGACTGAAAACATGAACAAACTAGAGTTTGCTTCCAACGATAAGATTACATTGCTTTTCTTTTATACATTTTTATGCTTCTGCAACAATCAGAATTATTATAATATAACGAAATCAGCAAATGTTTTGTACTACTTCTTCTAGCTTATGATGAAAACTGGTCTACAATATAACACAAAAGACCACACTTTAACTAGAAGCACAAATAAAACATGTTATGCCCTTTAATATGTTAACCTTTGGACCTGAGTACACTGAAAGAAAGACACAGAAGTAGTCATAGACCCAAACCAAGATATTGACTCCTGGTGTGATTGCTTTCAGAACTTTGAGCCACTTTTGGTAAAGTCCAGAGTAAATCAAAGCACCATGATCCATCAACTTATATGACAGTTGCATTCCTGGAAAATTCATTGAATATTTGTATTACACAAATCTGCCCTGTGGTCTTCTATCACTCAAAATATTTTAATAGGGTTCCCTGTGATTATGACTAAGAAGTCCTTGTGGTGTAGTTGGTTATACATTGGGCTACTAAAGGTAAAGTCAGTGGTTTGAGCCCATCAGCTGCTCCAAGAAAGGAAGATGAGTCTGTCTACATCCGTAAAGATTGTCATCTCAGAGACCTAAGAGGGCCGTTCTACTCTGTCCTATGGGTTGCTGGGAGTTGGGCTCAACATGAGGACATGATGTGTCATCTTGACTGTCAGAGTATCTCCAAAAAGAAGCTCCAAATACCATCTAGTGAAAGACATCGCTCCCATCTAGAATGAATGATTAAATAATAACTTTACTAAGTAATAACTATATTATCAGATAATAGCTTTTATGTTTATATGACACATTTTTTTCCAATTATATACCCAACACAGCACTGACTGGATTTAAGTAGTGTCAGAATAAACAAAACAAATTATAGTCACCACTAAATTGTATTCTTAGGAGCCCTGGGAGTATAGTAGTTATGCTTGGGCTGCAATCTGAATGGTTGGCAGTTCAAAACTACCTTTCTTCCTCGGAAGAAAGACTGAGCTTTCTACTCCGTATACAGTTACAGTCTGAGAAACCCACAGGGGTGGCTTTGAGTCAGCATTGACTCCATGGCTGTGAGATGGGTTTTTGAAAGTTGTATTCTTGATTTCACTGGTTCAATGTGAAAGCAATCCTGTTCCAGCACATATCAGCGATTTGACCATGGGCAGTTTGCATAACCTCTCTCCTAAATTCCTCCTCTGTAAACTGTGTGGAGTGGAAGTAGGGACATTGTGAGGCTGAAATTAGAGAGCACATGAAGTTCAGGGCACCTGTTTCACATTAGTGACATGTTGTGACCGTTTCTCCATCACTTAACACTATGTCTTAGACCACTCTGTCCCACCCATCCCATTCCTATCCCCAGGCATGTGCAGGAAGACCAGAATGCTCTAAGGACCTCTTTATACTCAGGATAGAAACTGATCACAGACCTGTTTTTTGTTGAAGTTTTTTGACAATTTGGTGGCTTACAAAAAACAAACATTACCCTAGCTTTTCATTCAAGGAAATGAGATAGCTAAGTAGAACCTTTTTTCTTTTTTCTTTTTTTTTTTGTACAACATTCCAGGTCTTTAGCAGGACTCAAACAATATTATAATCAGAGACTCTCTAAAGCAGAGCAAACCTGAAAAGCTAACTAATGTCAATACTTCTCTAAGATGAGCACCTAAATCAATCATAATAGATTTGTTTTAGCTACAGGTTCATGCATTTGAAATGGAAAGGATCTGAGCTATTCAACAGGAGTTAAATAAAATCTCCCTCAAGAGAAATGTGAAATGCTAGGTGGCTTCAAAAAGTTTGTGGGAAAATTAGATTATCTTTCGATTCTGTTTTTCTGGAAATTTTTTGAAGGCCCTTCAAATATTTTGTACTTATCATTTTAAGTTTGTGTGTGTACACCTACATATCACTGTGGTGACTTCAAAGATGAGTTTTGTTGACATGTTTGCAAGTCAATGATGTGTGGTTGTATTTGTTTTTATTTTAACTAAATGCATAAATAATTAAACACTGAGTTAACATGACCTTTAAAAATGAAGGGGTTAGGGATTTCCAAACTAACTCTTCCAACGACTTCCCTTTTGTAAGCACTTTTTTTATTAATGTCTAACAATTCAGTTATAACACAATTGGCCTGCATGTTTTTGCTTTGTCTACGTGAGAAGGGCGTCCACCGAGTCACACATGAGAGACTCAAACGCTTCCCACTGAAAATAAGGGAGACCCACCAAAGTGGGGAGCAGTGTCTTCATAGAGTCTCTAGTTCTCAGGGTCACAACTTTTGTTTAGACATCATTTTATTGGGGACTCTTACAGCTCTTATAATAATCCATACATCAGTTATATCAAACACGTGTGCAGATGTTGCCATCAACATTTTCTTTCTACTTGAGCCCTTGATATCAGCTCCTTTTATAACCCTCCCTCCCCCACCCTCGTGAACCCTTGATAAATTATAAATCATCGTTACTTTCATATTTTACTCCATGCACCGTCTCCCTTCACCCACATGGCACAATTCATTTTAAGTCGCTTGGAAATAATGCTCCTGCTCCTGGAACAAAGCAGAATAGCACTGGTAGACAAAGAGGATGTCCTCTCTAGTTACGCCTGGAATATAAAATGACCTTGCTCCTTTTAAGTGATCACAGAATGACTTTATTCAATTTTCTTTAGATTGCTATAAACAGCTCAAACAGAAAATCTGTTTCTGATGGCATCTTGCCAACAATTCACGATCTCTGGACTGTGATTCACTTAGTTCTTGCTTAAAGAACATGAAAAAAAATTTCCATTTCTGCTTGCTTTCACCTACTGCACCGTTGCATCATATGTATGATTTGGGGCATAGCTTCCCTTGGAGGGTTCTACTGGAAAGAAACGAGGAGCTAGCGTTGTATTGTGCCGGCTAACTTCCCTGCCCTTTCTGTGATAGGCGACCGAAGTAATCAGTGCCCCTCGGGTTTTGTCCTAGACTCAGTTGGACCCTTTTGTTCTGGTAAGTACAAGAATAATGTGTTTTTTATTCTTATAAAAATGCTATACTAATTAGGGAACACTCACTGACAGTCTTCTAGACAGTTAGTCAGCACCCCATTCCTCTAAGCCTCCTATATTATAGGGTGAGGAAATCAAGATGCATACAGTGGATGAAACTGCTTTAGATCGCTAAGCTGTCAGATGAGAGCTAGGTGTGAGCTTCAGTTAGATGACAAAATTCAAGCTGTGTCCATCTGGCCCCAATCAACTGTGTGGTGGCACATTGCACAGGTGGAGTGAGCACAGCGACAGTGCTAGGCTCAATCTGAGAACGTCATTGCCATGAGGGTCCTGGGTTTGCATGAAGATCAAATCAGTGAACGATCAGGGCAGCCTGTTCCGTTCAACCCCTCCCAACTACATGTGCAGTACTTCTTCCTCTGACCCGAACAAGACCGAGGTAGGTCAAACCCCACAGTCCTTCAGCTGTCAAGTCTGCCTCAGGGGACATGCCACCCTCCCATGTGACTTGCTGGCTACAAATGTGGGAATTTCCCACAACCTCCTCATGACCATCAGCTTACGGCCCTCCACCCGCCTCGCGTCTGATCTGTTGGCTTCCTCCCCCCCTCCCCAATCCCTCAGGTTCAGTTTTTCACTAGAAAGACTCTCCTCTTAGAAAAGCACCATACTTCGGGCTACAGTTTTCTTACAGAAAAAAGGATACAAATGTAGGCACATCGAGCAAGATCTAGGAGAATTCCCAACAGCAAGCTTCCATCTCCCAAATGGAATGCACTTCGCTCTCCCATGCACTAACTTTTATCACCAACCAGGAAACCCAAGAGTTCTCACTCCCCTGTCCAGAGCCATTACTGAAGCCTCTACACAGACATAAAATCGAATCAGCCCCCCTTCTCTGAAGTACTAGGTGGTGGATCTTGCTGGCATGACCAGCTTCTCCCCAGAGGTAGGTCATCGGAATGAAACCTCAGGTGGGACTCTCATCAGAGACACCTTATTCGCCAGGTTTTCAAGGTGATCTCTCAGAAGCTAAAGTGGAAGACCAAAACCCGGGCAACGTCAAATTCTGAATCCCAAAGTATGAGAAAAGCAATAATCTGCCTCTACAGGACCTCACCCTGAAATTGCCCAGTCATGAGCTAGACCAAGATTGTGGCCTTAGGACTCATGAGTAATCCTAATATGAGAGTCTCAGATAGGCACACAGCTAAGTAAAACTTGAGTTCAAGTTTCATACCTGTGCGTTTCTCTTACAAGCAGGCAAGGTGACGTAGTACAGTGGGAGAAGGCATCATCTTCAGATATAAATACTCTCAAGGTTCTGGTCCCAACTCTGCCCAAAAAATCCTGTGTGACCTTGGGCAATGTATTTTGTCCTTCCATGAGTCACCATATTGGCTCAGTGGTGATGATTTGGGGTTGGTTTTATAATTGACAGATGAGAAATACTAATGAAAAATACCTATTACATGGGAATATTGTTTAGGAATGAGTTAAGACAGGTATAGGGTTTATAACAACATATATTAACTATAGTCATTGTTTTAAAACTGCGTTTCTCAGCCTGTGGGTCGCGAACCCTGTGGGGGGTCAAATGACCCTTTCATAGGGGTCGCCCGATTCATAACAATAGCAAAATTACAGTTATGAAGTAGCAGCAAAAATAATTTTATGGTTGGGGGGTCACCACAACATGAGGAACTGTCCTACAGGGTGGCAGCATCAGGATGGTGGAGAAGCACTGTTTTAAAGGATATTCTAAACATCTAATCAGTATTAAAATTTAGAAACCCCATACTAATTTTAATTTAATATTTCCCTTCTCTATTATATTTGAGCCAATTCATTGGCCACTGACTGCAATTATTTTTCCTGACTTTAGTAACTCCTAGATAGACAGGGCATTGCATCCTGATTGGACTGGTTTCTCTTTCAGATGAAGATGAATGTGCAGAGCGGAATCCTTGCTCTCACACCTGCCACAATGCCATGGGGACCTATTATTGCTCCTGCCCAAAAGGCCTCACTATAGCTGTGGATGGAAGGACTTGTCAAGGTATTTGGAAATCTTAAATATAATAAACACATTGTAGCCATGCCCAAGGCCATCTCTGACCTATACAAGGTGTGTTCGACCAATCCTCTTTTTGCCTACTTCTTCTGCCCTACCCTTGCCCTTGTCAGTAAGGACTGCCCTTGCACTCCCTCCAAATGGAGCACTCAAAAAGCAGGGATGCTGCCCTGACTCGCTCCACTTTCACAGCTCTTCAGAGGCAGGCAAGGCTGTCACCATCCTTATTTTCCAGTGGTGAAATGATGAAAAAAGAGGTTATCAAGAGATTTGGAAGGAGCCTTGGGAGTGCAGTGGTTCAATACTTAGCTGATCACACAAATGCCTGTAGTTCAAACCAACCGTAGCTCCTTGGGAGAAAAGAACTGGCAATTTGCTCCTAAAAAGGTCACCACCCCTTGGGGAAGTTCTGCTCTGTCATAGGAGTCTCTATGAGTCAGACTGTCCTGACTGCCCAGACCAACAACACAGAGGGAAGTTAACTATAGTCACTCTCCTGACAGCACTTTGGGGATATTAAAAAATGTAAAACACACATGTATGTGTGCACACACACATTTCTTTCAAACCCTGTGTGCCCTCCAAAATCAGACTTGTATAAGTACCCATCTATTAATAAGTCCAAAGTCAAAATAGGAAACCTGGCTTCTTTTCTGTGCCCCAGGAAATCCTGTTCCAAATGCAAAGGAGGGGTGAGATGAGGGTAGAGAGGGGAAGGACTGAGTACCTTATATATGTTGTTTCATGTAGCTTTCAAAGTGCTCCTGAGAAACACATATCACTACCCGAATTCTACAGAGAAGGTCAGATTTCAGAGAGTAGAAGTCACTTCTTTTGAAAGCCACTCAATTCCTAAGGTGGTCCAATTGCTCCGACAGTCTGTGTGGCTGTCACACTGTATTGCTGGGAGCGTGTCAGCTATTTAAGCTACCTGAAATGACCCAGCATTTCTCGAGTGTCTATTTTATCCCAATCTCACAGCTGTTTTGCTTCACTTACCCCACCTGAATGCCTCACTCTGTTCCAGATATTGATGAGTGTGCTTTGGGTGGACACACTTGCCACCTGGGCCAGGACTGTGACAACACCATTGGATCCTATCGCTGTGTGGTGCATTGTGGAATCGGCTTTCGGAGAACCTCTGATGGGCTGAGTTGTCAAGGTATATAAATGGAGACCCTTTTTTATTCTAATAAATAAGACCACTTGTATCATTTAAACTCAGGAAACTTAAAGGACAGGGACTAGATACAGGGGAACAGAGTGGGTAAGGATCAAACAACTGAGATGTCTATTCCGCATTAGAACTTAAATCAGTACATCGTTTTACATATCTTAACGGTTAGACTCCGCTTGTAAATATTAGTAGCACGATAGTTTTTAGTGCTAGCATCTTACTGATACCATTTGAGAGAGATTATCCAGAACTATCTAATAAAATCTATTACAGAAAAACGCCAGTGCATGAACTACTATAATTTTAATGGAAGCAAAAGTTTATACAAAACTGAATGCCTCTCAATAGGAGAAAAAAATGACTGAATTATGGTGTAATTACACCAGCAACCGCTACAAAGGTATTAGGTCTCACAGAATAAATGGAAGCCCCTTTTTTTTGGCTTGGAGGTATATCTGTGAGGTACTGTTGAATAGGAAGAGTGAATATAACTGAAAAACAAACAACAGCCAAAGAGAATATATAAATTTTTATATGTAAGTATATATTCTAGGTGTTTATATCAACAAATATACAAAGGGGCTTCAGAAGTTTGTGGATAATTCCATTATCTTTCAGCTCCTTTTTCTACAAACCTTTTAAAGCCCACTTTTATATTTGGTGTGTGTGTGTGTGTGTGTATGAGAATATTATGACTAATATTCAATTACTGAAGAATCAAATGTCTTAGGTAGTCAAGAAGGTAAAAAAATGGCAAGGGAGGCCAAGTAAATAATGAAAAAAGCTTTACTAAGAAAAATATTCTTACAGGAACATGATCTTCCACTCTTAGGTATATCATATTAAAAATAGTTGATAGCAGCAACTCAGATACTTGTACTCCAATAATCATTGTACCATTATTAACAATAATGTATAACAATAACTATACAATAACAATCAAAAGGAAGACACAAGCCAAGTGTCCATGAACAGGTGAATGGGTAGCCACAATGTGGTGTGTTCATGCAATGTACCATAAAGAGAAATCAATTGTTGATATATATCACCACACAAATGAACGCTGAAAATACTCTGTTAAGGGAAATAACTCAGACACAAATGGACAATGCTGTCTACTCCAATTTTTATAAAATGCTCAGAATAAGAAAATCTATGATGGCAGATTGGTTACCAGCAGTGCTGGAGGAGTAGGGAATTAAAAAAGAAACAAAAAGAATGTGTCTTAGATAGTCTTGAGAGAAAATAAGAGTTTGTGCACAATTAAGGAGATGAATTGGGATTCCATGGGGGAAACTTGGTTAGAACATTTTATTTAATCAAGAAGAGGATTTAAGTAAGATTAAGAGGAAAATTTGTATAAAAGAATACGTCTGTGATTATATTTGTGCATTTATATAAATTAATATATACTTGGATTTTAAGAAATTAAATCCAAAGATCAAATAAAAAATAAGCAGAAATTAAGATATTGGCAAGGTCAGTTTGTAGTGCAATGTAAAGTGAGGATGTGAAAAGCCTAGCTAGGGGGAGAGTATATTTGCAGCAGCCGTCAGGAGATCTGAAGACCTGCTGGATTCAGTAAATCTGCTGCACAAGGCCTGTCAAGTACAGTACTGAAAAGCAAGAATGTTACATTGAGGACTAAGGTGCACCTGACTCAAGCCATGGTATTTTCAATTGCTTCATCTGCATGTGAAAGTTGGACATTGAATAAGAAAGATCAAAGACAAATTCATGCATTTGAACTATGGTGTTAAGAAGAATATTGAAAGTCCCGTGGACTGCCAAAAGAATTTGGAAGACATATGGCCAGAGTGCTGCTTAGAGGCAAGGATTGCAAGCTGTATATACTTTGGACATGCAGAAACCTCATAAGGGCAATGAAAAAAAAGACCTCGATGAGATGGATTGACATAGTGGTTGCAACAGTGGGTCCGGGTGTGAAAACAATTGTTAGACTGGTGCAGGACCATGCAGTGCTTCATTCTGCTTGGCACCTAACAGCAACATATCCAAAGTGTTTGTAAGATGACATATAAGTGACAGGAATTAAGAGTAGGACCATATTGAGAGAGCGAATTTTCTAGAATAGGAAAGATTGGGCCATATCTATCAAGTTATAGGGAAAAGGACAGTAAAGTGGTAGAATGTTAAAAATGTATACAAGAGGAAGGACTAGTTGAAAGAGTACAATTCTCATTCTGGCGAGGAAAGAGGAGATGGGTGGCAGGACTCCAATACAGAGCCTATTCTAAAGCATGGTCTGACAGTTGGTATAGATTGGTGGCTTGTCCATTGCTATGAAGCCAGATGCTATGCCACCAGTATTTGAAACACCAGCAGAGTTGATCGTGCTGTACAGACCTCAATGGAACGTTCAGACTAAGGCACTTTTGGAAATCAGTGAGTGCAAACCTCATGGACCATAGCAGAGCATTGTCTGATTCACTTGTTTTGGACACATCACCAGTGGGTATCATAGCTGGGGGAGGATATCACGTGTGGTAGAGGATTCAAGCATGCCATCAAGGATGAGAAAGATGTAAGACTGAGCAATAATTTGTGTGGTTATAAAGGTCACCAGGAGTCAGAATCAAATGGACAGACTGTCTTGCCTATTTAGCTCTCAATTCATCTATCTCCTAATAACTGTTCTTTGCTCTGAGACTCGAAAGGAGAGAAGAGAGAGTGCCAGAGCTGCACAGTGCACAGGAGTCTCGGGAACTTTATGCCTTCAATCTTTCTAGTCTACTCTTCTCCATGTGGTGTTGGGAACATTAATTGGACAACAACTATCAAGAAGGAAAAATGCTATGCTTGCTGCCCCCAAGCAGGCACAACGTTTTAAAGATATTCATTTAGCTAATAGCAACAAGAATGGGCAAGAAAGGTCCATTTCAAAGGACATTGCAAAAAAAGTGTAGTGTTTTGTTTTTTATTTTTTACCACTATCTTAGACACAGCAGTCTGTCAGCCACATTCCAGGACTGAAACTTCCTAGAAATCGGAGTGTGAGCCATCTGGTGAATGGCTCAAAATAAGGGGCTGTTGGGTCAGCATCATTCTGAGTCATTAGCAAATGCTACCTCGTGAAGAGAGATGCCTTCTCCAGCAAGTCATCCTCTCAGTTATTTAGCAGAAAAATGAGAACAGGTGGATTAGGTTAGAAAGTCATTAACATAATAATAACCAGAAATAATCAAAACATTAAACATTTAGCACCTTAGACTGTGGCCCTCAGAGACCTTTGGACCGGATTTCACTTCTGTGGTCAACTTTCAGCCAAACAGTAAACAGGTCTGTAAAATGAACAATAATAACAAGGAGGTATGCACTCCTTAGAACAGTCATATGAAATCAGAAGGGTAGTATTTGTCCGGGGATAAAGCTCCACGGCTGGAAGGGGCAGGAGAGATGGATGAAGGGAACGGTAATGGCAGGGAGAAAGTGGTAAAAGTGCTTGTGCTTTGTGGGGATTGCAATCAGTGTTGAAAATAAAAGATGCATGGATTGTCGAATAGAACAGCAATTTGCTCTGTAACTTTCACCCAAATCACAATTTTTTAAAAAGTTAAACATTTGGGAGGAATTAAACCAAGATTCCTGACAGCATATAATGAAAGTTTTGTTTGACAGATATTAATGAATGTCAGGAATCCAGCCCTTGTCATCAACGCTGTTCCAATACCATAGGAAGCTTCCACTGTGGGTGTGGACCTGGTTATCAACTGAAGGGCAGAAAATGCATGGGTAAGAAAAGCCATTGAGTTCAAAGCAACAGCATTTAATGCTTATTTCATGCTTCTGGAACCAACAGCATGTTGTTCCTGGACCCGATTCACGCTGCATCATGAATGCCATCTATGCAAAAACACAGTAGAGGCAAGCACTATATTTGAAAGGGTTTTTTTTATGCTTATATATCTTTCTAACCCACATTTTCCTTATAGTATTTATAAAATTTCCCCACAAATGTATGTGTTTATATATTGATATGCATATATATGTATATACATGAAAATTTATATTTTGTATGCATATACAATTGATAAAACTATGTATTGATTCAAATATGCATATATGTAATTTTTATTTATAAAGAGAGGACATGATTGACATGACTACCAGTTCTGTGAAGCAATATTTTTCTAAATCAATTTGTTCTAAGACAAAGTGTGTTGCACAGCCTACTCTATTGAAGCCTCTTAAGCTTATACAATGATTATGCAATGAAGATCTATATGAGGTTACGTGGTGATATTCATAAAAACCAAGGTATGGCTTCTCTGGAAAAGGAGCAGCAATCATTTTCTCAATCTGCATTACTTTTTGTTCTTTGGTCAAGATGTGAATGAATGTAGACAGACTGTGTGCAGACCAGATCAGCACTGCAAGAATACCCGGGGGGGCTATAAGTGCATTGATCTTTGTCCAAACGGCATGACCAAGGCAGACAATGGCACCTGCATTGGTAAGTATAGGACTATTTCTGTGGCTGAGACCCATTTGCCTTGAACAAGCCAAGTAGGGCATTCATTTTTAAAACTAATGATTACATTTTATCTAGCATTGAAGTCTTTCTTTTTTCATAGACCTTAGACCCCAAATTTAGTATGACTATGCTCTAAGGTCCCAAAGCCATTGCTATACAAAGAAATGGAAATTCACTAATGACAGTTTTGAACCCTTATCTGTTAGATAGTTCTTAAATAGTTTAATATGCCTGTAACTCACTATGTCTAACATTGTTACTAAACTTAGGTTTAGCATATTTGTTTAGAATTTCATATACTGGGTTAAGGACAAATTATGTGTATGAAAAGTTTTTATAAGTTAAAACATAATTACTTTAGAAATAAATACTTCTTTAAACATAAAAATAATGATAAAAATATATAATAGATTAGATCTTTCCCTAATCTTCAGAGCTGGCAGAGTTATTAGCTTCAGGATTTACAGATTCAAAATAGATACCATTCCTGGTCTTATGTACTTGCAGCCTGAAGGGTAGACTAACTACTCCCCTGCTCCACCAAGGAGGGGGGAGGAGCTGTAACATAAGGCTGTATAGAAAAAAAGAGATACAGATTCCATGATGTGAGAGTGCTCGAGAGAAAGCGATCATATCTTACAGGAATAACTCTTATGCTCCTAGGGATGTGATCATACTTAAACAGTGCCGTGTTAATGGTCAGAGAAGGAAGAAAATGTTTACAAAGTGTCAAAAATCAATCTTTTTGTCTTGACATCTATAAAACTTAGGGAAATTTTAAGTTCATACAGCAATGTGCATTTAAGTCTCCCCATTTAAAAATAAATTTAAATAATTATTCTGAACTGTTTATTAATAAAGCTTTAAGATATGATAAGTTTATTTCAAAATTATATAGGAACATAGAGAATATAATGATATAGAAGAAGGAAGATTGACAATATATTGATACTTGCTTCAGTACATGGGCACTTACTACACTTTCTTTCTACTTTTCTATATGTTTTCATTTTCCCTAATAAGTTTAAATGAAAAATAAACTCGGGTAGTTGAATTATCAGCTTTCAAAGACTTTTCATTTGTAATACTATGAATATAGGTAAATATTTGTCTCAATTTGTAATGATAGGCTGCAATATGGTGCCATCTATAGTTGCATACTTATTTTTAGGAAGCTAGGCCCTGTAATTGTGTAAGATAAATTAGAAAATTAACTAAAAATTAGACAAAGTGTTTAGAAAGTATTGCAAAATCCTACTATATGGGATTGAAAATATGAGGGAAGAATTATTTGACAACTAATGAAATAAACTGAGGAAGACTATGTTTGCTGCCTGGTTGCTTGGGAAAACAGGTGTACCATAATCAAAAATAAAAGGCTAAAGACGCTGTGGACTTGTTGAAGTTGAACCACTGTCATCACGGAGTTGGACATGACCACGTAGCCCCTGGAAACATGGGACCTGAAATCGGAAGCAACAGTATCGCTCTAGTTGTGTACAAACAAGCTTATAAGAGTTACTAGTAGAAGTCACTAGCACAAGTAAGGCAGCTAAAGGAGAAAAGAGAGAGACCCTGGTTGTCACAACTCTTTCCTTATTGAGGAGCAGGAGGAGGGAAAGGATCCAATTAATAAGCGACAGGGCTCAAACTAGACCCAGGTTTTTTTACACTAAAATCTTTACGTTGATCTCTCCCTACATACCGAGAAGTATATCTGTAATATCTGTAAGAAGGTACACACTTTTGAGGTTTGAAAGAGGAACTATTACTACTTGTTGTGACCTCTATGTCCATAGATATTGACGAATGTAAAGATGGGACTCATCAATGCAGATATAACCAAATATGTGAAAATACAAGAGGCAGCTATCGTTGTGTGTGTCCGAGAGGTTATCGGTCTCAAGGAGTGGGAAGACCCTGTCTGGGTAAGTTTTTGAGTACTAAAGCTACTAATGCCCTTTGCTTAGGACCACACTCTACAGCAGCGGTTCTAACCTTTGTTTCACAGCCCCTTTGGGGGTCGAACGACCCTTTCACAGGGGTTGCCTAAGACCATCGGAAAACAAACTTCCAATGGTCTTAGGAACAGAGACACCACTCCTCTATCCGTCTCCAGGCCAGTCTGCCCACATGCAGATATGCCCACATGCGAGTACCCTGTGTGAAGACTGTTACCCATACTACACCATGCCTCAAGACAAAATTTCATTTATTTGTAATTAGAAATAAATATTTCACAATATATGATGACATATTGTTTTTGTGATTAATCACTATGCTTTAATGGTGTTCAATTTGTAACAATGAAAATACATCCTGCATATCAGATATTTACATGATGATTTATAACAGTAGCAAAATTACAGTTATGAAGTAGCAACAAAAATAATTTTATGGTTGGGGGTCACCACAGCATGAGGAATGGGCTTAAAGGGTCACCACATTAGGACCAAAGCTTCTCTTATTCCAATTAACAGATATGTAAATTTGAATCATTCATAACACTATTCAGTTGATTTCTTCAGAAACTTCATAAATCTGACATTTTAAATGATAATACTAAGCACTTATTGAGTACATCATGGGAGAGAGATGAGGCTTTCTACCTCCGTGCAGATTTACTCTCTCAGAAACCCACAGAGCAGCCGGGTTGATCTGCATCGGAACCAACACCAAGTAATCAGCACTAACCACCACACGCATCAAAGTGAAGTTGTGATATATGTGCCGTGACAGCTTAATTATCTAGATCATCAGATTATCGCTCTGCGGACATAACATGCATGTTTGCTTAGATATATTTTAATGGGGTATGCAGTGTAGGGTTTAGGAGAGAGGAATTAAAACATGAACTCAATATTCAAACAAATTGATGTCATACAATCTATCATCCATGTAGTGCTTACCATATGCCATTCACTGTGCTAAGAATCTTATTTGATTTCCCCAGTCACCCATAGGTTTCAGTTTTAGTTTTAATTAAATATAAAGTAAGCCAGATCGTAAAAAATATCTGTAAGATGGTACACATTTGCTTTATAAAAAAATTGATGCATTTATAATCAAGAAACTTTTGCTAAATTGTATTCCTTCCCAGAATATTTAATTTCAGTATAAAATTGTATGTGCTTTTAAATACTAGCTCTTTGGGTTTTATGCTATGCATGTGACATTGGCTTTCTTGGTTATTCTATTAAACAATGATCTATAATAAATTATTCCTGATCACCTTAATTCCGTCTTTATGCAGTCCCAAGCATAATATTTTGTACACAGTAATGTTCAAATTAATGTCATTATGAGATACTCTCTTAAAAGAAACATTTTTGATAACAGAATTGAATATAATTCTGATAGCAGAACATACTATTTTAGCCTTCTATTCATATATATAATTGAACAAATTAATCAGTAATAACTGTGGTCTATCGGGATTAAATTTGTTTATCTATTTATCAATTTGCCAGCATTGAATGTCAGGCATTGGGCTAGAAGAGAAAACAATACAGGAAGTAGGACCGTTGCCTAGAAGAGATCCAAAAGGTTAAGTTTGGTCTTGTACCTACTCAAATCACTTTTAAAGTATAATTCACTACTTTTATTATACTTATTAATATTATTTCATTTCATGGCACTATTAGTGAATTAAAGAATTTAGTTTAGATCCTTGGTTTTCTTTCACTTTTCTAATTTGCAGGGAAATTTAGAGCATATAACTCCAGGTCTTAATTTAAAATATATATCTTTTTTTTCACTGTATACGTTTAGTGAATGTAAGTCTTCATTCCCTGTCTTTTAATCTTGTAGGGTGAAATGTGCTTACTCTTGATTATTCATTTTAATATGTTAGTGCAAAAGAATATGATGAGAAAAGTGAAGTAGATGCAACACTCTTGCATATAAAACCCTCCTGCCAAAGAACTTAGCTCTATATTAGCTTTGAACTCCGGTTTTCTGGATTCAAGAATACACTTTCCCATATGACATGTCTGCTAGTGGTTTGAATTAGCACATCATGTTAAACTCATTTTTCATTGATTCATCAAATATTTATTGAGCATCCAATTTGTGCTAGATAATATTCTAGGTTGTAGAGGTATAGCACTAAAATGAACTTACAAATTCTCTGTCCTAATAGAGCTGTAATTCTATACAGAGAAAAACAAAAACATATGCTATAATCCTCGTTATGAGAAACACTTTAAGGGAAGTAGCGCAGGCTAGCGTGGTGGTACTGTGAGCCTGGCAGCCTTGAAAGAGACTGAGCAAAATGAAGGAGCCCCTGCAGATGGTCTGAGCAAGTGTATTCCAGTCTGAGCAGACTCAGAGCTAAATTCTTGAGAGAGGAAGGTTTGTATTGTTGGGGAAAAATAAGCAGAGGTTAAAGAGGATGAAGATTTTGGATTTCATTCTAAAGATGTAATCTAAAGCCATACAAAGTCTTGACCAAGGCATAAGTTGCAATAATTTAGATATGGAAACAATCACCCCTTTGCTTTGTGGAGAGGAAACCATGGGAGGACAAAGGATAGAGAAAGACCAAGTCCACTTATATAGATAAACAAATAAGCAGGAAAGTAGTTATTGTTGTTGTCATTGTGTGTCATCCCATGGATGCTAACTCATAGCATCCCTAAGGACAGAGTAGAACTGCCCCATAGGGTAGTTTCCTAAACTGAAATATATCATGAGGCCTTTCTCCAACAAAGCTGCTGGTGACCCGAACCTTGGGTTGACAGCCAAGTGCTTAATTAACCATTACACCATCAGGACTCCTTCATAAGGAGTTACAACAGTAGTTCCATCCTTTCAAAATCCTCTCAAGCCATTTGGAAAGTCAAGAATCCACATTAAGAGTTATTCGTCAGAAGAGAGAAAAGAAAATGACGAGATGAAGATTGAGCTTTCATTGTACTTAGAGTTACTGTTGCATCTTTTTCAGTAATTGTAGTTTACTGTTAATTAAACTTTAATTCAACATTCTCTTAAACCTTGGCCCCTCAGAGGAAGATATGTACATATCAACAATTTAGGGTATCCCTGCCAAAGTTGAGCTCAGAAACTAGTCGGGAGTGTATATAAGATACAAGATGCCAATACTGCACTCACATATAAAAATGTCTGACAGCCCGTACTGATAAAACGTACCAGTTGGTTTTCTCAAACAAGGAGATAAGACTAAAGGCAGACAGTAGACCTGCCCACACCTGCAGCATGCCTCTGTCTACCTGAACTCCAGGGCAGGGGCCTCCTGTGCATGGGATTTCCGAACACTGAATATAGCTTTCCAGCGCCTACTCCTGAAGAACTGGGATTTCCTTCTTAAAGAAGAAACTCATCCAAAGGTGGATTTCTTATTGCAGGTTCACATAATTGTTACCGGTTTGTGGATTGTTTGTTTGTTTTAATTTCCTTGATGACTTAAGTCAACTCATTGTGAAGATTTTTTTTCACCCTGAATATTGCATAAATGTGGGGGGAGGTCAGATCCTTGCAATTACTGCCAGACTGCTGTCTCGTCCCACCACAGGGGTGGGCCTGCTCCCTGTTGCTGGAGACAATGGATTACCTCTCCCTGAAGCTTAAAACCATTAGTTTGGTTCCTGTGGGCGGAGTGCACACCCTACTGATAATGGTTACTATGGAGACCCAGGGAACAGGTCAAAGTTAAGCTGCCATCCTAAATCTAGGATCCACCCATTTTGTCATGTGTATACCCCCAATCCTTCATCTTCCTATTGCGTGTATGTCCCTAGACCACCCTCTCTCATTACTGTGTAACCTATAGTGCAACCCCTTCCTGTGATATATGTCTCTACCTGTAATTAGTGGGCTGGCACACCCCCCAAAAGGTATATAGGTGTGGGTCGGCAATATAGATCGCTCTCTGACCTCTCTCTGGCTCCCTCTCTTCCCTCTCTCCTCTCCCTACCTTTCTCCCTTGTTCCCTTGCCCTCCTTCCCGTCCCCCTCCCTCCACGTGGACCACCAAGCGGGGCTGAGGTGAGCATTGCTACCATAAAATGTGTCTGACTCCATTTATTTCTCTATATCTCTTTTATCTCTCATGCTCTGTATAACTTTATTATAATCTTTACTTATTATCACTGTACAATTGCGCCTACCGAACCTATAATGATTGTGCTAGGAGCTGGTTTCTTCTGCACATAAAGGCTGCTAAATTGGAACTGACAAGTTCTGGGTTAAAAAGCTTTAATTTATTGACTTATTATTTTTGTAACCATGGTCTCTATTTTCCTATTTGATGAACTATTAGGCTTTTCCCAGACCCTGTCTTAAACCTACGAGTTGATGTGTTCGTGGGAGCTGTCAGAACTTTGAGATGTTTCTGTTGGTTTTTCTTTCTTTCCATCCCCTTTTGAACAAATAATAATAAAAATAAGTGAGGGAAATATGGTGCTCTGATGATATGAGGAGGAAGATGAAAGAGGAGACCCACAGCTTCTGGCAAGAGAAAGCTTCCCCCTTGCTGTCGAAGTAGCCCCCACATTGAAAATGTGCGTTAAGACTGTTATCAAAAGCTTCTTGCCCCTTTAGTTCTTGCACCTGACTGTTTAGGATCTGTGTTAGTCCAGGTAGACTAGAGAAACAAATCCATAGAAACTCATATGTGTATAAGAGAGAGTTTTTTATAAAAGGTAATTATACATTAAGAAAGCATCCCAACCCAATCCAGTCCAAGCCCATATGTCTGATAGCAATCTATAAAGTCCTCTTCAGACTCACAAAACACATGCAATGATGCTGAATGCAGGACGATCACAGGCCAGTGGGTAGAAAGTCTTTGGATCCAATGGCGGCGTTATAAGCATCACAGCACTGGCAGGGTCTCCATGTGGCTTCTCTAGTTCCCAGGGCACGGGGTCTATCAGTGTAGTGCCCTGTGTTTTGTCAGTAGAGCATCTCCCAGGGAGTGAGCAGAAAGAAAGAAGTGTCTCCCCACTCCAAAGAGGAAGTATAGGAGTTCCAGAATTCTCAGGATAAGGCCATGCCCACACAGAGCCCTTATTGGTTATACCTTCATTAATTGACAGGCCAGACTCCACCCCTTCACTCATAATCCTCTCAGATTGACACCAGATTATGTAACTACCACAGGAAACAAAAGAGAAAGTGTTTCTTTTGTTTGGTTTGCCACATTGTAACTTTCTTGCTGGAACTGAAAGGACCACAGTGATCATACTCCATGTAACCACGGAGGGGAGGATAGCGCATCATGGTCTGCAAAGCTAATGATGCCTATGAATGTGTGCACTACAGAGAAGCCCTGTGCGTGTACCTGCTGCTGCGGTCTGTCCGAATGGAGAATAAGTGTGGATGTTTTGTTTAAGAAAAACAAAACAAAACACTGGAGGCAGAATTCATGATAAAAGGAGGATGGTTTCACAGAACAAGTGTCTAGTTTTCTGAGCCACGCGCTCCAAAAGTATGTTCACATAAAGCTGGAAGCCAACTTCAGAATCATTCTATATACAGTCTTCCAAAACTGAAGGGTCAAAGCTTTGCCCATAGTTCACATAGGAGAAATTGTTGTATATAACCCTGCTTTGGAGGGCAACAGAATGTCCTCCAGTTGTTTCACAGACTGACTCTTTATTCCTGTTTTGTGTGTGTATGTTTGTTTTGTTTTTTCTCTTTTTTATGTATCATGCTACACGAGCAGACATTAATGAGTGTGATCAAGTGCCTAAACCTTGTGCACATCAGTGCTCCAACACCCCCGGCAGCTTCAAGTGTATCTGTCCCCCAGGACAACATTTATTAGGGGACGGGAAATCTTGCGCTGGATTGGAGAGGTTGCCCAGTTATGGCACGCAGTACAATAGCTATCACCTCGCGAGGTTCCCCCCTGTGAGAAACAACTATCAACCGCAGCAGCAGTACAGCCAACACTCACATCTCTACAGCTCCTACTCAGAGTATAGAAACAGCAGGACATCTCTCTCCAGGACTAGACGGACTCTTAGGAAAACTTGCCCAGAAGGCTCTGAGGCGAGCCTTGACGCATGTGTAGGTAAATGTCAGCCACGTCGCCTTTCCTTTCTGTGGGCTCCTGTCCTCTCCAGCAGCGATGCATCTTTACAGCGCCTGTGATCCCCGGAGTGCTACCACGGCTGCGTTCAAGGCTGGCAGGACTCCGGGTTTCGAGACAGATACTCTCGGACCTCTGACTGTCACAAGTTGTATTCAGAGAAATAATCTACAAATTTACAGAGGCCCATTCAAATAATTTGTTGTGTTATATGTCAGATTCTCTCTTTGATCACTTTGGGAGAAATAGTTTTTTCCAGTGGCATCCAAAAAAAGAAAACAGACATGCTGCCACATAATCGAATCCCATGTGATTATGATTGTATGGGATTGATCCCTAAGCAGTGGGCTAGCAAGTGACAGGTTCAGCTACTTAATTATTTCCTGATTCTCGTATGACAACTGATGCCCATTGATTGTTACCCTTCACTCCCCAGGGAATTCCTCAGTACCATTTATTCTGTGTGGATGTAAGTGACTTAAAAGGTAATGCAAGCTCTGGAATATGTGTTTGTAATTTCATTTGTCTGCAAAAGTGAAGGGTAATTTTCAAGTCAAGAATGGAGATCTTGTTTTCAGTTAAGTTGCAAACATTACCATCTGCCATTCATTTAACTCCATTTTCTGAGAGTATCCATACATTGCATGTCATTGAGCTAGGCACCAAGGGAAATTAGCAAACCAGACAAAAGGAACATATAATTCACAGCGTCACTATTTTTTAGGTGAAATAAGAAGGCAGGGAAGGGGGGGCGGGGGAGGTGGTAGAGGAAGGCAAGAAAAAATTCTTTAAATATAAAATCATTATTTCAACCACTTTTTTCTAATGTGTCCTCTAAGTGCTCCACATTTTGAATTCTCTCCTAAATATATTTCTGTTAAACATTTATTTGAAATGTCTTAAACATTTCTTTTGCTAAGTTCAAATCCTTTTTCCTGCCTCCTCCAACCCTGTTTCTATACCTTTATCTTCTCTTAGGTGGACCTAAATTCTCTCTCACTTCTCCTCGACTGGACTCCCAATCCCTCCAGATGCTTAACCATTACCCTTTGTTCTTTAGGTCTATGTTTTAATATTTTCTAGGACTTTTTGTCTAAATGTTCTGATGTGTCTTAAGCAGAAGGTGATGGGTGTGGAACCCCGCCCTTGTGATCAGCTTCATGGTAGATAGCTCCTTTTTCTTCCTCTATTTAAACTTCAACCATCCCACACCTGGTGTGGTTGAGTCCATTGGCAGACTCAGCAGTACGTGATGGAATTCTCATCCCGGAACAACCGGCCATGGTTGAGGCACCGCGGTTTCCCTGAGAGGCTCCGTCTTGGGAACCCAAAGGAGACCTCTGTAACCACTTGAGAGTTGGATATTTAAGTTTTATTTGGAGGCAGTGAATAGACTGATAATTTTTAAAATATGACACTTTATTGCGGGCACTAATAAAGAAATCGACACGAGGTTCCAGAGAGCTTTGGCATTAGGAAACCAGAACTTGCCAAATGCTTTTAATGAACCGTCTGGGATAGAGAGCATGCAGAAGGTTTGCATTAACACTATGAAATCTTGAAAACTCAGGCTGCAATTTAACCTTTAAAGAATTTAACTTCCAAGTTTACCAGGAGGGATGAACATCGCATTGCCTCTGAACACAGGAGTCCCCTTGTAGAAATCACCCTTGGGAGTACTTTAAAACTCATACTCTAGGAAGAGCTGTTAACTACGTGAAATTCAAGCAGAGCTGAGGGCAAGAAAACCACAAGTTGTAGGATGAATGCTTTAGTTTCCTAAGTGATGTAAAAAGATTGGCAAATAAAAATTAAATGAGTGTTTAGCAGTGACCCTTTGGAATCCACCCCGCATATCTGTTGAGAAAATGCCAACTGACTGGAACTTTACCTTACCTCCTCTCCCAGTTTTCGCTCTGCCTTCTCCTCAGTCCGTCGTCCTGTGCTCCAGCTTCCATTTCACCGCCTGGTCTCCCCTAAACCCTTCCATTGACTGAGGTGTGTTCAGGCACGGGCAGCAAAGTTTAATACTAGCCGAAAGCAAAGAGCAATTGGGAAGAGAAATCTGAGGTCTCTAGAACTACATTTTTTATTCTGAAAGCAAGTAATATTAAATCTCTACATACCCCTAATTTTCCTTTTATTGTTATTTTCTTGGTATTGTTTAACGATAGACCTTTGTAATTTATAAAATGCATAGGTTTCCAAATTTATTTGGCATATTACCTCCTTTTCAGAAAAAAATTATACAATGCCCCCTGACATGTAATACCTTTGTTACTGTAGCCCAGAAGCCAATATGAAGTGCGGGTTTCGGCTTCTGCACTCCCCAGCGAGTGTCCACTTTTGAAAACACTGAGGCATCTCTGAACACCAGAACAAACCTCTGAATTAGAGTAGATTCCATCATTGTTTTCTGACTGAGAGACAATACATCCTTGAAAGATAAAGTGGCATGGTCAAAGTAACATAGAAAATGTGTATATGTAAATATATATCATGTGACTAGTTTTATATATGTAAAATTTTACTTTCTTGCCTATCAAATATTTTGATGGATGTGAAAATAAGGACCCCTGATTACATGAATGTAAAAATACCTTTGGGGGGGCTATCAGTGTATTTCCCACCAGGCTATCAACTCATGCTAAATGGAAATTTATATAATTTGTATAATTTCCATTAGTAACTTAGAGTTATAGTGTTAGTTTGAGTGAATATTCCTACCACAACAATAAAATACTTGTGGTGTTTGAGAATAATCTGTTTTGAGGGAAACTGTGTTGAAGGCAAGGAGAGGAATAAGTCTCTAAAATTTAAATAAATTAAAAGCTAAAAGCCTCTTTCCCAATTAATCTTAATATAGATGCTATCTTTTAAGTATGTTCTATCATCCTGTCAGGAATTTAGGACTATGGTGTGTTAGGTCCTTGTACGAATCAGTTCCTCTGCCAGTTGAGTTTTGTCTTATTGAACTAATGGGAAAATTGACCAGTTTGGGGATTCAGCTCATACATGATTACACACGAAGAAATGTTCACATTTTATAACATGATGCCATTTATAGCTGACTGAATTGAAAACAGATCCTTATCTGCAACAGCATTGAGAATTTTTAAATGTATAAACGTAATACCACCACGAAACTGTTCTCTGGTACATCAGTCATTTGTTGCTAGTCGGCTCTGGCAGGGGCCTGCTCGTGTTCTTCATGTTTGTACACTACGCTTTCTCTTTGGACAGATGTTGATGAATGTGAACACCGAGATGCCTGCCAGCATGAGTGTAAGAATACCTTTGGGAGTTACCAGTGCATCTGCCCACCTGGTTATCAACTCATGGTGAATGGGAAGACTTGTCAAGGTGAGAGTGGGTTGGGATGTTTCTGCTTCAGCGTTGCTTAAAACCAACAGTGCAAAACGTGAGAATGAAATGTTTCCTCTTTTTGAATAATTATTCTCCTCGTTGCTTTCCCTTTCTTCCCATTCCCACTGGGCAGGCTTGTCTAAACATTGCTTTTACAAGTAGGGGAGGCAGTGAGGCAGTAAACAAAGAAAGTAATTGATAAATCATTTTTTGGTCTACTCTTTGTAGAAAGAGCTAGAATTTCCTAAATCAGTCTATATTTTGCATTTTGAAAACTTAATGGGAATAAGCCTGTTGCTGCCGCTTCCTAATCAGAGTGATCCTCTTGGATAGAAGTACAGCTACCCCTCTGGGTTTCCTAGCTTGTAAATCTTGACAGGAGCAGAGAGCCTCGTTGTTCTTTTTCAGGGTGGCTGGTGGTCTCAAACAACCGACCTGGGGATTAGCAGCCCCGTGTGTAATGCACAACTCCCCCGGGGCTCATTAATGGGAACAAACCTCCCCAGACATTCTTCCCCCTACATATTGGCTAAGATGAAAGGGGAAATAAGGGGAGTGCTAATTTAGTTAACTTTGATATTTTCTTATTCTTGTGAGACAGGTGTGTGTGTGTGTGTGTGTGTGTATGATAGCCAATGAATAATTAAGTAAATAATAGATTTATTCTTTGAGCCTACAAATGATTCTTGAGCACTACCATGTGCTAACATTGCAAGATGCAAAAGGTACACACAGATGAATAGGAAACAGTTTCTTCCCTTCAGATCATATTTTTCTGCAGTTTAAAGTACTGGAAGGAAGGAAGGAAGGAAGGAAGGAAGGAAGGAAGGAAGGAAGGAAGGAAGGA